TTCTTAATCTCACCTGCCCACCTAACCTTCTGTCTCCCCCCAACCTGCTTCCCTTCTCTGGGAATCCAGTTAGTTACCCTTAATGAACAGCGGTTATCGTGTCAAGGCGCTACATGCCCAGCCCATGTCCATTTCCTCTTCTTTATTTCAACTATGATATCCTTCACCCCCGTTTCTCCCCTAATCCACTCTGCTCTCTTCTTGTCTCTTAAGGTTACACCTACCATTTTTCTTTCCATTGCTCGCTGCGTCGTCCTCAATTTAAGCTGAACCCTCTTTGTAAGTCTCCAGGTTTCTGCTCCGTAGCTAAGTACCGGCAAGATACAGCTGTTATATACCTTCCTCTTGAGGGATAGTGGCAATCTACCTGTCATAATTTGAGAGTGCTTGCCGAATGTGCTCCACCCCATTCTTATTCTTCTAGTTACTTCAATCTCGTGGTTAGGCTCTGCGGTTATTACCTGCCCTAAGTAGACATAGTCTTTTACAACTTCAAGTGCACTATTACCTATCTCGAAGCGCTGCTTCTTTGCGAGGTTGTTGTACATTACTTTCGTTTTCTGCAGATTAATTTTAAGACCCACCTTTCTGTTCTCCTTGTCTAACTCCGTAATCATGAGTTGCAATTCGTCCCCTGAGTTACTCAGCAATGCAATGTCATCGGCGAAGCGCAAGTTACTAAGGTATTCTCCATTAACTCTTATCCCTAACTGTTCCCATTCTAGGCTTCTGAAAACCTCCTGTAAGCACACGGTAAATAGCATTGGGGAGATTGTGTCCCCCTGCCTTACACCCTTCTTGATTGGTATTCTGTTGCTTTCTTTATGAAGCACTATGGTAGCAGTTGATCCCCTGTAGATTTCTTCCAGAATGTTTATATATACCTCATCTACGCCCTGATTCCGCAGTGTCTGCATGACGGCTGATATTTCTACTGAATCAAACGCCTTCTCGTAATCTATGAAGGCTATGTATAGTGGTTGGTTATTGAGCATTTCTCTATTACCTGATTGATAGTATGAATGTGGTAAATTGTTGAGTAGCCTGTTCGAAATCCTGCTTGTTCCTTTGGTTGATTGAATTCTAATGTTTTTTTTACTCTGTTAGCAATTACCTTTGTAAATAGCTTGTATACTACAGAGAGCAAGCTGATCGGCCTGTAATTCAGCCAACACAATACGTGCCAATACTGATGTTCAACTATGATATTTCTGTACGTATTTCTTCGTGCGTCGAAAGTATTTCTGAACTTCCAGCTGTTTGCTTCCTCTCGCCACTCTTGACGTTTTGTTTTGTTCCGTCTCAGAATGCTTATGAAACAGCCCCCCTGACTAAACAACCATTAAGTGCTGACATGTATCGTACTAAAATTGTTCACTATCTGTTATGTCCACAGCTACTAGAATAGCCTTTTCGTATACACAACAGTTCAATTGTACTGCAGAGGGGCAGCCGTGTTACACAGTGGTTAATGCATTCGTCTGCATAAATGCAACTGCTTGTACAAACCTGAATCGTTATGCAATAAGTAAGCCTCCATATGCACAGAAGCTTAGTAGATATTGGCAAGAGAACCAGAAGCCATAGAATAAGCACAGTTGACGACGACCAAAACCCACAGGAATGTGCCACCAACCAGGCAATAAGCTTTGGTGTACCGAATCAGCAGTTGTGCACGATACAGAGGCCTCCAAATTTAGCAACTTAAGTTTGTTGCATGCACCCAATTTGATTGTCAAAATTTTTACGTTTCACGTTCCGGTGAGGTATGGCCTTGGTGCCAACACTTTCTTTGTGACAGCTGGTAGTCAAGCCATTGTGGCAGGCAGAAAGTGCGGAAAGATGGACAGTAGATAATCATTTGCATTCACGTTCATGGTGCGAAAAAGAACCAGACAGAGAAACAGAAGGAGCACACATACATACAGGACAGGTTTCCTATCAGCAAGAATGAAAGAAAACGCATCAGTGCTGCGTCAGCCGCCTTATTCAGTAAAGAGTTTTAACAGCAAATCTTGCGTATATAAGGTGGTAAGTTTAAGTTAAGTTGCAGATACATAAGAAAGCACTTCCCTCTCAGTGCTAGCTCATTGATTGGCTTCTTGCGTATCAGTTTCTTTCCTTCCTTCTTCAAGTCTAGGCGAATTCGAGACCGTACCATTCTATGGTCACTGCATCGTACCTGGCCAACCACTTCCACATCCTGCACGATTCCTGGGTGTGCACTCATTATAAAGTCTATTTCGTTCTTATTTTCGCCATTAGGGCTCCTCCATGCCCACTTGCGGTTTTCTTGTTTTCGGTAGAAGGTATTCAAAATCCGTAAATTATTGCGTTCTGCGAATTCTACTAGTAGCTCTCCTCTGGCATTTCTAGTACTGATGCCATAATCTCCTACTGCCTAATCTCCAGCCTGCTTCTTCCCTACCTTTGCATTAAAGTCACCCATCACTATAGTATACTGTGTTTTTACCTTACTCATTGCCGATTCCACGTCTTCATAGAAGCTTTCAACTGAAGCGTCATCGTGGCTGGATGTAGGTGCATAAGCCTGTACTACCTTCATCTTGTATCTTTTATTCAGTTTAATTACGATACCTACCACCCTTTCATTAATGCTATAGTATTCCTCTATGATGCCAGCTATGTTTCTGTGAATCAGGAACCCCACTCCCAGTTCTCTTCTGTCTGCCAAGCCCCAATAGCAAAGAACGTGCCCATCCTGCAGCACCGTATAGGCCTCATCTGTCCTCCTAACCTCACTGAGCCCTATTATATCCCATTTAACACCCTCTAGCTCCTCGAATAGTACTCGAATAGTCGCTGCAGAACAGGTACTCGGCTCTTAGTGAGGAAACCAACCTTAGCGTAGATACAATGAAAATCTGACGAGTATCATTACGTAGTGTGCAGTGGAAGTTGGAGGCAGGGCAGCTAGACAGGACACTGGCAAGCTTTCCCAGGAAACGAAGAACCTAATTAAGAAGCATCAAATCATGAAAGTGTCAAGTACATCAGACAAAATAGAACTGGCAGAGCTTTGGAAGTTGATTAATAGATGTAAGGTATGCGATGTAAGAAAGTATAACACGGAGAGAATTGAACAGGCTCTGAAAAACGGAGGAAGCGTCAAAGCAGTGAAGAGGAAACTTGGGATAGGCAAAAGTCGCATGTATGCACTAAGGGACAAAGAAGGCAAAATAATTACCAATATGGATAGGATAGTTAAAATAGCGGAGGAGTTTTACAGAGATCTGTACAGTAGCCGAGACAGCCACGACCTTAATACTATAAGAACTAGCAGTAACCCAGATGACACCCCACCAGTAATGATAGAAGAAGTCAGAAAAGCTTTGGAGAGCATGCAAAGAGGCAAAGCTGCTGGTGAGGATCAGGTAACATCAGATCTGCTGAAAGATGGAGGACAGATTGTGTTAGAAAAACTAGCCACCCTGTTTACGAGGTGTCTCCTGATGGGAAGAGTACCAGAGTCTTGGAAGAACGCTAACATCATCTTAATACACAAGAAAGGAGATGACAAGGACTTCAAGAATTACAGGCCGATCAGCTTGCTCTCTGTAGTATACAAGCTATTTACAAAGGTAATTGCTAACAGAGTAAAGAAAACATTAGAATTCAATCAACCAAAGGAACAAGCAGGATTTCAAACAGGCTACTCAACAATTGACCACATTCATACTATCAATCAGGTAATAGAGAAATGCTCAGAGTATAGCCAACCACTATACATAGCCTTCATAGATTACGAGAAGGCGTTTGATTCAGTAGAAATATCAGCCGTCATGCAGACACTACGGAATCAGGGCGTAGATGAAGTATATATAAACATTCTGGAAGAAATCTACAGGGGATCAACTGCTACCATAGTGCTTCATAAAGAAAGCAACAGAATACCAATCAAGAAGGGTGTAAGGCAGGGGGACACAATCTCCCCAATGCTATTTACAGCGTGCTTACAGGAGGTTTTCAGAAGCCTAGAATGGGAACAGTTAGGGATAAGAGTTAATGGGGAATACCTTAGTAACCTGCACTTCGCCGATGACATTGCATTGCTGAGTAACTCAGCGGACGAATTGCAACTCATGATTATGGAGTTAGACAAGGAGAGCAGAAAGATGGGTCTTAAAATTAATCTGCAGAAAACGAAAGTAATGTACAACAACCTCGGAAAGGAGCAGCGCTTCGAGATAGGTAATAGTGCACTTGAAGTTGTAAAAGATCATGTCTACTTAGGGCAGGTAATAACCGCAGAACCGAACCACGAGATTGAAGTAACTAGAAGAATAAGAATGGGGTGGAGCACATTCGACAAGCACTCTCAAATTATGACAGGTAGATTGCCACTATCCCTCAAGAGGAAGGTATATAACAGCTGTATCTTGCCGGTACTTAGCTATGGAGCAGAAACCTGGAGACTTACAAAGAGGGTTCAGCTTAAATTGAGGACGACGCAACGAGCAATGGAAAGAAAAATGGTAGGCGTAACCTTAAGAGACAAGAAGAGAGCAGAGTGGATTAGGGGACAAACGCAGGTTAAGGATATCATATTTGAAATAAAGAAGAGGAAATGGACCTGGGCCGGGCATGTAGCGCGTAGACAGGATAACCGCTGGTCATTAAGGGTAACTAACTGGATTCTCAGAGAAGGGAAGCAGGTTAGGGGGAGACAGAAGGTTAGGTGGGCAGATGAGATTAAGAAGTTTGCGGGTATAAATTGGCAGCAGCAAGCACAGGACGGGGTTATCTGGCAGAACATGGGAAAGGCCTTTGTCCTGCAATGGACGTAGTCAGGCTGATGATGATGATGATGAAGAAAGCAATTCGGTGTGAGATGGTGTGCATTCGCCCATTTTCTACGGTTTTTGGCTTTTTATGTTATCTTTCAATAAAAAATCAATTGATGTCAAGAGACCGTCCTGTATATGTATGTGTTCCTTCAGCGTCTCTGGCTGGTTTTTTTATTTTTTTTGTGCTAGGAATATGAATGCGAATGACTGAAACCAACTAGCCTGCATCACTGCTTTGAGTAAAGAACCTATGGCACAAGGATGACCACATGTTGCACAATACAATCTTCATTCGTTATCCTTCCTACACTCTAAGTTTTGAGTAAAAAAATTGTACACTATAATTTAAGTGACACCCTAGAGCTGAGCTTGCCTTGAATAAGAAGGTTTTCTTGTGGTCGGGCCCACTTTCACCGACGAGAGTAAAGTCGGGAGGGCCCCATCGTGACTTGATGCACAGCTCAGTCAGGGCTGACACGGGATGCTTGCCTGCGGGTCACGACCAACAGACACGAGAATAGACCGCGAGTCTCGTTATTCAGTTTCTTTCTTTCTTATAGAGAGGTACTAATGAGAAAAGCTACATCAGAATAGAGTGATGAGGTATCTTTTCAAAATTGTACTCTCATGAACCTCAAAACAAGACAGCCATTTCGGCTAGTTAGTGACCTATTTTGAATGCAGAAAGTAGGACACAGTACAGAACAGGGATTAAAAAAAAAGGTCTGTTGTGTGCCTGTGTTATCATTCTCTTCTTTAGTCCCTCTTCTGTACTACGTCCCACTTTCTGCATTAAATGTACTAAGTTGAAAGTGCTTTTTTTTTAATTGTGCACCAAAATTTCTTGTGCTGGTCTGAATTACAAAGTACTCCCTGTTTTATTTTAGCCGATTTAACTTTGCAAAAAGTTATTGAAATTGACATATTACAATTTAGTTTCTCTCCTCTGGAAAGTGATGTAGCCCACTCTTACACTAACATATTTACATTGCCTAAGCCAGTGACGTGGTCAAGAATTACATGGTTACAATAGGCCCAGGCAAGAACATTTTTATGACATTGGCAGTTTTTGGTGTTTTTTTCCCCTGCTCATTTTTTTTTTGTCTATTAAGCATATCATCATGGTAACAGCAGTTTTTTTCATTACAAGGAAGTACGATTAACTGATAAGACACAGATACTTTTCTCTTTAGTATAATCTCTTTAGGTGTATAAGAGTTTCACACAAACACACCGAGAAGGATACCTGGCAATAGTGCCCATCAGCTTTTCTCTTAAAGCAATTCAACCAATGCGGGAGTGCTGGGAAGTGCATGTATTGGCTTAGTTTAGTTGATAAGTTCACATGATTCGCAGCAGCAGCAGTGCATGTTTGTTTATTGGCCAGCAAAACTCTTGGGGCACCTTGAAAAATTAAAAAAAAAAGTCTTGGTGCAGTCAACAACATTTATCCATAGAAAAATGCAGCATGTTCTCTGAAGCACTACACTCCTGTGAACTGCCCACAACAGACCAAGCAACATCATGTGGTGAACTCATCACACGACATCATGATGGAATCACACACTTAGGCAAAGTGTGACCCCATGATGATGTCACAACAAACTGTTTTAAAGTATGATTTTGTTGCCTCGAAACACTGTTTTCCCGCTGCAGGTCTGCTGATGCAACAAAAAGGTGAAAAGATCACTGCAAATAGAAGCGTTCAACAGTGAAACGTGCTTTGTGCCACCGTGCCAAAGCTTAAAGATGTCTGGATGTGATCGAACCGAAATGGCACTAACATGGTAAAAGTTGATATGTAGACAACGTCTCCTTTAGAAGGATGCCTACAACTTGAGCTGAAGAGCTAGTTCCCGGCCCTCTTTTGTTCTGCTCCGCTCCCCGAAACAGTGTCGGCCGCGAGCACTTGCTGCGGCAACCACTTTGAACCTTTTAGCCTCCGAAATTAAAGCAATGTCTACTGCCGTGTCGGAGGCCACACGGTCGTGTTTTTATGATGGCGTCACTTCCGAATTCAGCGGAAGTAGTAGTGTCAGCTTCGAGTGCTCCTTACGGAGAAAGCACTGAACTACGAGGAACCTCCCCTCCCCATTGGGAAGCGTGCAATGTCGCAGGCATCTTTCTAGAGGATACGTTGATGTAGAGTATTACTTGCATGGGTCAGTAAGTGCCAATCCAATCCATTCTTAGTTCAGTTATTCAGTGCCAGTTTTCCCTGCGGTAAGCTTTACACGAAAATATTTAGTGACAGCCAACTTGCGAGTGACTTTGCCAGGACAGTGCTCACGAAGCTTTTTCCCTACCTCCCAAATCTTGGTGTGCAGGTGCAGAAGGGTGTTTCGTCTCTAGCTCCGACACCAGACCTGTAAGGAGTGAACAAAAGCGGCAAAACATGGGTTAAGACCTTCTCGAAGTGCATCAAGGCAAAAACAATGCAACACATGGCTTACATACAAGCACCAATACAAAAAAATTAAATCACATATATCATGATGGCAAGACAAAGTACGAAAAAGGAGTTATCCAAAAGGCTTGTTTTTCTCTATTGTACACAGCTACTAAAACCGACAGACAATTAATCGTTTTTTTTTTAGCTTGTATGTCATCACAATGGCACTAGACTGAGCTAGCTAGTTATTCATATCTTAACGTAACAGCCTAATAATCAAAAGACAAATACACACAGTCAGCTAATTAGCGTTTAAGTTCGTAGTTTATGCCACTGTTAATCTAAAATCATACTTTTCTGTCGGTTTCATTAGTTGTGCTTAAAGGAAAAAGATATTTATGGGACATTCATCAATTACAGGCAAGATGGGTGAAGTGGTGCACCCACAAGCACTTAAGAGGATTGCCATTTTTGTCACTTTCAAGAGCGCAGAATTTATCACTGTCTGAATCACTCTATAACATTATTAATAAGTCAACACAGGCAGTTCATATTTTAAAGAGAAACAAAAATGAAAGCAGAATTAACAGAATTATCACTTGTAGCAGTTGCATAAACAAAAGAAAAAGAAAAAATTGTTCTTCAGCAAGTCGTCCTAAAGACGGAGCGCTTGACACACGCAAATGAAGTCAGTGGCCTTTTCTCAAATGTATAGAGAGCCTGCTGGCACATTGCGCTGTCTCGAACATCAGAGCTGCATGTGCACAAACCTCGACAACAATTATGTAGCATTAATTTTCTCATTTTGCATGCATGAACTGACATGGTGACCAATGTCTGTTTCGTCACCATATTTAGTGTACAACGCAAGTTTTATAAGTTGATGAGCAGTAGATGGTGTCAATAAGATGAAAAAAAGCATTTTAAGAAAAGCTATTGTCCAAGGCAGAGGTCACAGCCTTTTGCGGCGGAGGGCCAAGTTTTTTCATGAAGGCAACACAATGGGGACCGGACGGTTAAGTGAGAAGAGGGGGGTTGCAGTCAACAAAAAGTATTAAGTGAACCAACAATAATTTACAAAATCAGCGAAAAAGTCATGTTTACTTTGTGCACGCATGTCGCAAGGCTGCCATTAAAAACATAGGTTACAAGTGAAAATCCCATTTGACGTTAAAGCTGCCATGGAAGCTGCCAAGGAAGGAGAAATGGGGTTGGAATCTTTATATCACACCGGGGGGCCGCATAAGACAACTGCGTGGCTCGCAGGTCACTGGTTGCTGTCCCGTGGTTTCATGATTAGCATCTGGGATGATGGAGCGCTAGCTCTCCAAGCAGTTTAGTTAAGGATCGAAGGTGCAGGACATAAAACTTTGCGGCTACTACTGTTTACTTATTTTAATCATTACAACAATGATCATTACAATAATGATCAGTTGACTGATCAATCAATTGGGTACTTGTGTGTAAGCGTGACAGGTGGCATGCATTCAGGCTGACAGATTTTGTAATGGGAGCAGACATGGTTAAGATAAAATCGTGCGCAAGAGCGAAGTGCCAACAAAGAGAAAGCACTTTGCCTTCAATTGATCCACGACTTGTGCCAATGCCAAGTGGACAGGACATGCAATGTACAGAAGTGTGATTGCACATAACAAGCACTGATACAAAACCCTCTACTCAGCAGGTTGAGACAAGGCAGTTCAGATGGTTCCTAGTGTACAATCCAAATTGGCTGAGACCCCTAGAAGCTGTTCTAACATCTAACCAAGCTCCAATGACATGACTCCCGCCATATACACATTCAGGGTGGCAAAGCCGAAAGCATCCATTTCTCCTAAACAGATCCTTTTAAAAATTGTAAATCTAGCTTTCCTGCTATGCAGTATGCAACCAATGGCGGCTGGTCACTTACTGCAGTCACTTAGGTCACTTAGCGCGGATTGTTTACGCTACGACGTGGAAAATGTAGAGTTGGCTCTCTTAATATAAACACACTACATAGACGAGCCCCAGCACGTTGAACTAGGTCCGCCTCTCCACTCGAAGCATAACAAGTGCCTCCATTACTTGGGGAAATATCCAGCGCAGAGAAGCGCACTTGCTAATTATGAAAAGGGTCGATGGTCGCCACTCGCCAAGCAGTGCATGACAGTGCTTTCGTTGCGTAATTGCAAGTTTCAAATGAGTCCGTTCCTGTTGCTTGTAGAGCGCACATGGCTCAGATACCCTGTCAAAGTGTCAATTTGGCGAGCTGGTTATGCAAAAAGAGGAATTTTGCGCTAGACAGCATGCACCAAAAAAATGGGGGATGAACATGAAGCATGAAGTGCTTTGCGAGCCATGTGGCCTTCTTTGCCAGCAGATGCTCCGTCACTAGCTCGGACACAATGTTAGCGACTAGCCGGAGACACCGTAAGAGATGAACCTGCCGGAATTCTGGGGCGTAGGGGGGGGTCTCCAACCTATGATGCAACTCACGACGCTACACGAATGCCAGAAACTCTAATTGCGGAGAAGCGTGGCTTATGTACCTCTTTTGTCGGTCTTGATGCTGGGAAGCAGAGGCTCTAAAGCACCCTCTTTGTTTTTTCCGAGGCCTTCACCAGGTGTCCAGCCCATCTTGCGCAACAAGTGCATGCCTATGCCCTCAGCCACAGGTGCTGCTTTCATAAATTGGTCCTGGGCATGCATTGTGGGGAAGGCACTGTTACTACTATTAGTATACAAGGTGTTTTGTTTTAGACAATACAGATTTTTAACAAAAAAGAACCTATAGCAGTAAGGCTGCTGCCATTTTCACAAACACTGCATCAAGGTGGAAATACCGCACCACAGCTGAAATGGCACTGTCGTCGCTGTCAAAAACTTGTCAACATCTTAATCATTGACTTGAGGGCAGTTGTTTATATTAGAATGTAGTAGTGCGTGACAATTCATGACATGCCCACTTTCAAGAAATAGCAGATGTAGAATGTAATTTGAGATATTCGTGATTGAATTTTAAGAGTGTTATCGAAATTGATTGCACCCAACGCACATGAGATGCGACCACTCTGTTACGTCATACCGGATCTACCAATGGCAAGGATAGATGGAAAGTCGTTTAATGAGAAATGTGAAGGTGCAGGTCCTCTGTGGGGATAGGTGAAATTTTGTCAGACTGCGACAGTCATTAGCAGTGTCCTAGGGTTTCGACTCATTTAAGCAGCCGTCGCTCGTGCTAAGGTGGTGTGTAGCCAGTGATGTAGTTTGTTACTCCATAAATCACCTTTATCAGCCCACTCCGACTCCCATAGTCTGCATAGTGTGTCACGACCGTATCTCTCCTTAAAAAGTGGCCAGTCATTTCACTTGCACCAGCAGATCGCCTTATCTTTACATGTGGTATTTGATGCTTATCGGTTTTTTTTCTAGCTATGTGCAAAAAAATTACGTCAACCTTTTCTTTCTTTGTGCAGCATAAAACTCGGGGGCAGTCACTGCAGCACTTCTTGCAGACAGGTGAAAGAGTTTTTCGTGCCAGCTTGTAGTTTAAGGAATAAACAGATAAACACCACACATTGTATCTAAAGGATAAGCTGTCTACTGGTGCATTTCAGAATGCTTGCCGATATCCCCGACTAGATGTGGCTTCCGCGCACCTCGATTTTATTTCGTCACTTCCTTGTCTCAATTAGTTCCAGTACGACCCAACAGAGTGGTCACACTTCATGTGCACAAGGCACGATAGTTTCCATATCGTCCTTAAAATTTGACAAGTACATCAAGTCGTGTGCGAATTTTTTGATCTCTAAAAAATGGGTGTGCCATAAAATGGCATGCACTACAACTCCCAATATGAATAGCTAGATCAGTAATTAAGAAATCAATTAGCAAGTTTTGGTTAAATAGTGGCAACAATGTCACTTCAGTAACAGTGAAGCATTTCTACATCGACGTAAAGTGTATGTGCGGAAATGACAGCAGCCTTACTGTTATAAGATTTCTGCATTGTCCTAAAAAGAAAACACCTTGTATAAGAAGATACACACAAAAGAAAAGCCCCAACTCCGGCCTAGTGTAATGTTGCAAGCTGTGTCAGACAGCTGTGTCAGGGGCACACAATGCCATTACTAGAAGCAGCTTTTTTATGGGGTGTGAACAGCTTGCTAGTCACTAATGGATGCATTCTAGCACACGCTAGGGAGGGGAGGGGCACCCTACAGGGCATACTACAAGGAGCCTGTGGATATGTACACTTATGTCAACGATAACAGGCTGATAGCTGGTGGCTACTGTTCTTCCAGAAGTATAAACGTGTGTTGTGGCACAACAGCCACCACTGTGGTGCCCAAGCACTTAGCCTATTCTGCACAAAGCATGGCATAAAAGGGATTGCCAGACGCGTGTAATTACCCGAACTGAACCCCTGCCAGATTTCTGCTCAGAGTTTACAAACAGCTGTCATTTTTTTTTTAATACTTGCACCTTAATGTCATGTTCCAGTACGTCTACTAGCCCATTTGGTTAGTTTTTGCCCAAAAAGCAATGCATCGAAAGGAATAGGAAGGTTACGTGGTGGCCTCAAGCTCCTCACTACAAATGTGCACAGTCAATACCTGGACAACATGGCAGTGTGAAGGTGCATTGCAGTGTCCCCTTATTGACACAATGAAGTATTGATATTGATGCCGCGGAAAGGTGGCACTACCTGCCGTCATCGCCAACAGATGGAGCGACAATTCTTCACCACCAGAATTGTCATTTGTAGCAGTGTTGCTGGAGAGTATGCATGCTTCAACTTTTCAGTGGAGACTGGCACGTAGAGCCTTCAAATTTGATCTTACATCAAATCTGCCGTGCTACATGAAGTACAACCACAGCGATGCATCAGTGCAAGTTGCAAGATGCATATACTTGATGGTGCTCATTTATGTAACTGTCTGCTCCAGATGAAATTTTTGCAGGTGTTGTGTTGGCTTCCAGTGCATAGCGCACAGAAATCGAAAAGTAATAACAGCTCAGCGGTTAACAGTTACTAGTTGGCATCTACATATTGGTTTCACAGGCTGCTAGAGACCCATGTGTCTCATTGTTACATACCTTTTTAACCCAAGCTGGAGAGGGCCCAGACAGCTCATCCGGAGTCAGTGGCTTGAAGTCTATTGAACCTGTGTATTGGCCCGGCTTTTGCTTTGATGCTACCCATGCCTGGAACTGTTCGCAGAAATTAGCCAAACTTAGCCCCCATGCATAAAAACAGCTCAGTAATGCAAGGCTTTTCGGAAACACTTTCCAAGTATGAGTTATGCAGACCCCACTCCTAACTAGCGCAGTTTAAAGTTTGTATTTATTCTTCAGGTTAACATTTAAGTTCTGCAACAAACTTGAATGTTTCGCAAGAATGCATGATGCTTTTCCGTGTTATCTTCTTCACTCAATGAAACGAAGGTTTCAAGCCTCACTTCCAAGGACCAGATCAGAACGACATGGGTCTTCACTTTGCATCTTCAAGTTGCTGCCTCATCCTCTCTAAACAGACTGCATGAGCCCATTTTCAATTAGGTGACGAAGTTGTTTGTGGAATGTATGTTTGTTTTTAATTTTTAGGCAAAAGTGCCTTTTGGAAGCCTTTTTATGAAAAGTCCACAACTTTTCCTAAAACACTTAGCACCCCTTATTTCACTGGCTCACAAAGGCCAATTTTGTTATTCCTACAAGAAGCAACTAACCTGCTTGGGTTTTGGCAAACGCACAGTTGGAAAATGCTCTGTTAGCACGACCAGTCAGGCTGCATCCCTAGGACACCTACCTCCTTGTGGCAGTCGTGGTAAATCTTCATGGCTTCCACATCCATCGGATTCTCCTTCAGGGCCTTCATCGCTTCAACACGACGACTCATTATCGTTGCAATGTCGAGGCTCTCCTGAGGCGGAGATGGGAGGGGCACACTCGCACTGCACACCTTTGCTTTCTCTCTATCTCTCTCTCTCTCACTCGCTCACTCACACACTCGTCACTTCTCCACAGTTGCACATCTAGTGGCATTAGACCAGGTGGAACGGAGTAACCAGCGACTGGATCACCCTCGTAAAGATAGGGCGAGGCAAGCTCCCAAAGGCAGCAGCTTTGAGCTTGCTTAGCGCAAGGTCAATACTATCATTGTCATCATCATCCACAGATTATGTTAGGTGCCCCCCCCCCCCCTTAAGGCGCATTCTGTTTACATGACAGTGCAAAAGCCCAATGCAGAAATAATAATGTTTTAATAGTATGTGTTCATGACATGTTAATAGTATATTAGTGGTTCTAAAATCATTAGCCGTCAGCCACACTGACACTTATGAGTGTGAAAAAAGCGATTGTCGTTGGTATAGTTATATGTAGAGCCCGCCGAAAGTGTATCGAACTCATCTTGTGCACGTACATCTTGTAGGTGTCATCATGATGATAATGTTTCCAAATGTGCTCGAAATCAAATCTGATTAGGTGACGTATCACAAAACACAATGCTTCGTTCATGTCCGTTTACTGACGCTGTTCATTTTAAGCACTAAATAGCAAATTTCTGAAGGTATCTATCTGGTACGTAGATCTAGGAATAGTATCTTAGGAGATACTTTTTAAAACTTTGCGAACCTTCCTGGATTTTGAATGAGTGCAGTCTCCTGGATTGATTAGGATTGCTTTGAATATTTTAACGAATACACACGTCATAGCTGTACTAATGACATGAATGCTTAGATGTTTTCTACTGTGCATCTGCCTAAATCTGGAGTTATCATTTGGTCATCGCATGTAAGAACTTTAATGCATACTCATAAAAATTGCATAATTAAGGTATAACTTCTGCGGTGGATAAGCACGAACCTTATGTGGCGACACAAGCTGCATAAAAGTAAAACCAATTGCAGGCTATGTGTGATTGTACGTGTGCCTTTGCTGTTCTCGCCTTTTGTGCTATTTGTCTACATGCATTGCCCTTGGTTGTGTGCCATAATTTAGTGAGCTGTTTTGCTAAAACATATCTTCACTTTGGTTGTGCTGTTGTATCTGTGCAGCCTTTATTTTTGATACATCACCTTATCTTGCAGGTACCATTTCTTTGTTTTTTTTTTCTTCAAAATTTGATCTTAAGAACACTGTCATGAGAGGTTATAACAATGTAGTTTCAACGCCACTGTATTCCGAAATGCAAACAGCCACACACCAGAGGCTTCAGCATAAAAGAGCATGGCAGTCTAGAAAGATGACTGCCGCTATGCCAGCACCTCATGAAGTGCAGTTTTGTGAAGCACTCCTTTGATCTTCTTAAGCAAACAGAGCGGTGCTCTCTTGCAGAAAAAGTAGCGGGACACGAGAGTAGCAGACGAGAATGCAAGGTTTGAAGCCGCTGCTTCAGAAAGTCCACAGGAGGAGCTTCCAGAAACTATTTTTCTTTTTAACAAGCTAGCAACTGTATTTGGGATTCATTCCATCGGAAAACAACTTGCATGAGTGTGCAATGGTAGTTGTGTTGCAGTTTAATGTCTACACAAGCTAGCGTCGCTCTGTAGAACACATCACTTAATACATGGCAGTCGACAGAAAGGCATTTTGTCATAGATGTGCACTGCACGGGAAACCCACGCGTTTTTCGAACCACAGAAAAAAAAATTGTTTGTGCCCCTGCAAGCTTGCCACCAGACACATACAGGCGACACATAACTACGCCCCATTCCTTGCGGGTAGAGTAGCGATGTTCACCGTCTTGTTAACTCTACATAAGTAGTGCCGACAAAGTATGCCAAGCGGCATGGAAGAGATAAGACACGCACTTATAGCAAAATTTCTTGCTTTCATCCCCACCCGATTGATGTACGCGTTCAGTATAGCGCCTTTATGAATAAAAATTTACCTTATGTTACAGCAAACTGCATCTGGTCCCAAATCAGCATTTCTTTTTTTTTTTTCACACATCTCTCGACCACTGGCATGCAAAAGACTAGTAATAAAACAAGCAGGGAAGTCAGCGAATGTCTACATCACCGACGTTCCAGCACCCAGGACGGCATGACGAAAACTACGGCCACATTTGCCACATGTACCAAGCCCGACCAAACCTTACGAGCAGAAAACAGCTACATTCCTTCCATGCCCTGCCACCAGAACAGTGCACTTCTCATAAGCCCGTCAGGAGCACCACCAGACAAGCCCAACGAACGACAGACGACCACTTGCCCACCACAACGTCACCAGGGACAAGCAAACAGCTGAGAGGACCCTACCGGCGCTGGGTCTGGCGGCTCCGTCACAGTCGAAGAAATCACCGCCGACGAGACGGGCAGCGGAACATCCTCCACCTGAAATACAGGCGGAGTGGCAACATTGGGCAGCGGGGAAAAGGTTTCAGTTTTGGGCAAAGGAGGGGGCATCAGGGCAAGCGGGGAAGTGCCCCCTTCCGTCGAAGGAGCGGCACTGCTCTTGGCGGCCCGAGCAGCCTTGGGCGCCGGCGCCGGCTCAGTCTTCTCCACGGGAACCCACTCGAGCTCTTTCACACGGTGCTGGTTGCCGCTCGAGACGGGAAACTGTTTGTGCAGGTGCGCAGCATCGGCCACCTTCTCAGCGAGCGTCTTCACGGGAAGATTGGTGGCATTCTGTGGAGGAAAGCGCGTGCTTAGCCCCAAGCACCGGGGGATGGGGAGAAGTGTCATAGGAAGGGCGAAAAGATGAAAGGAGGGAGACAGAGCCGCAAGGGACGCAGGAATATAGTAGTGTGGCAAGTAGAGAAACAAGCCGAGCACACGGTGTCTTTTTCTCGAGTGTTTGTGAGCCCCGCACAAGCAGTAAAGAAAGGCAACAAAATGTCAGAGCACAAGTTTATTAAACACATGCAAAAGGGGGTGGCGAAGTCCAAAACATTTTTCCGCAGCCCAATACATAAAACAAGAAAGCCAGGAATCATGTCGTAATCGCCCCTAAAAGGGCTCCACCAGTGACACCCGCAGTGTGTTGGCGCAAAGGTCCATTCAAGCGCACGTAATGGCAAGTCAACAGCACTGTACAACACAGCAATTGTCGAATACAAATTGCTTTCCAGATGACCCGTCATTAAGCATCCCTCTTCCCACCCACGTTGATGGGACTCGCACAATGCCGACACTTGAAGGACGTTGCCGCCATTTCACCTTGCTACCGATACCAGAGAGAGACAGTGTGAACAAGAAGTTATGACCGTTTAAACGCTAGAAGTGATTAGGCCTTCACACCTGCTCTGATGTGCAAAGTTCTGTGAAACACATCACACTTACATATGCACTTCATATTATGACACACGCACATTTTTACATGCAAGCAAGTGAACTTGCAGGTGAACTTTCTTTTTTACGCAGACCACATATAGAACAAACTACACATTGGATACAGTATAAAGCAAAAAGTCTAGCAGAGCGTACTAAGCAATGTTGCAAAGACCAACCTATAAAGACTACTGACGTCTGAAGCACCAAAAATGATTAAATCAAAACAAGCCATCCTTGCAAAAGGAGAAAGACGCCAAGCTGTCTATAAAGGAAAAAGTTTCTGAAAGAAATCCAAGTACTTGAACATTCGGTTCAAAACACAGCGAAGCAGATAAAACTGAAATATATAAGTGTGTGAAGAGCATTTCTAAACAAAAAAAAAATGACTCAAGGCTGCCTAACAAATTTGTCATTACAGAGGACCTTTGATAACTTCAAAGAAAAAAAAAAAAGGAAGCTAAAGAAAACGACGCATCATACTTTATTGGGCTGCACATAACTGAAAGATTAAAATAACAAATCGTACATGCTCTTGCTGATTGATCGATGATAAAAACCGATGTCAATGACATGTACAGTGTTACAAGCACAAAATAATCAAATAGGCACTCTCAGCATAAAGTCACAGCAATCCACTGCCCTACAGAACAGCAAATATTGTTCGGACATCAAGCCATTGTTGTTCCAAAGGATCAAAGACAATAGACAGTAATATAAACACACACTACATTATGTCAGATACTGGAAATACTTATCTCACTGGCGATTAAGTCTACACGCACTCGCAAAAATAATGTGTTGAGAGAAAGAGGCCAATCACTGTACCTATGACAAGATCGCCTGTATATAAAACAGAAAAATATGACTTTGCAATAATGTTCAAAGGAGACATTGAATCGGCAGCACTCCATCTACCAAAGTGTTGGGCACTCCTGAAAATATCCATGAAGTATCAACCAACATGCACAATTTTACAAAGTGAATGGAAAAAATCTGAACCAACTGCTGGTGATGGATTCTCAAGTTTACGCTGCCTTCTCCTCTACACCGGAAAATGTCGCAATCTGAGTGTGGGTACTATGCGGGAAAAAATGTACTGCTTGCAGTACATCCCAAACATGGTCAGTAACATATGACTACGCTCATGTCTAGACGAACTTGCGTTCTGAGCACATCTTCACAAAGCCATAGCTCGCAGGGCACCGAAACTTGGACACAAGCCTTCAAAATAGCCACATTGAAATGACACAGCCAGTAAGACTAGCTACAGCGATAGTACAGCACATTGTCATACCTGCGGACCACAGACAGTGTTTTTCACTTGCCATTGCAGCAGCCCAAAACCTCGTTGCTTCTTCAGGTTGCAAAAGTTGGTTTGATACGAAATTTGATTTAAAAAAAAAAAAGAACTAGGAGGGCAAATAAGCTGGTATCGGGAGTTGTACCGACGAGGACTTGCCAGCGTAAAATGCATTAGGAAGGTAGCTTTGCGGGTCTGCTATACTGAAAAGCACTAGCCGACGCATGGCACTGTATACCTCTTCATATAGCTGCCCAACAGTGGCTTACTATGGAAGTGCAACTTTTCAGGGCATTTTACAGCTGTTACTGACCAAGCTTAGAAAACTTCGGATCCCAGAACTACTTGGCGTTCTTCATACTAGACGACATCATTCTATACGTTTCAATTATGCAGCATCAACAACTGCTTGCCTCATAACTTCTTCACTGTCTGCATCCACTTAAACGCAACAGACATACACTGACACGCGGTGTCTTTAGCGACAAATACACGCTCAATGAGGTGTTTTCTGCAAATACCAGAAGCAAGAAACGCATGGCGCGATGCGACAGCAAGCAATGTGGCTCCTGAAAGGGGGTTCACCCCCACTGTCTAAACTTGCAAGAACATGTCTGCTGAAACTTTATTTGATGTAGCATGCAATTAATCATCATCCATTAGGTCACATGAAAAACTGTACCATGTGCACTCTGCTTTGAGCGAAAAAATGCATGGGATGCACAAACCACAGCTCCTGCAGGCCCAATGCAAAACGCATCAGCTGCATTTCTAATTGTATTGATTTCGAAACTACGTTTATCACATGTACTCGCAGAAGCTCAAGCTGCAGGCGTCTCCAAACATAGCCAAGCTTAGTCAAGTTGTCAGTGTCGACCTAGGTAGCCTCAGGCAGACGAACCATATCTTCATGTGGACATGTATAACCCACACTTTCAAATGCAAGACTACCAAAATTTTGGAGTGGGTGTTGTTTGACTTTACTGTGGTAAGCAGTCAGCAAGCTACAAAGACTTTGCAACTTGCGACACATACGCATATTCGTAATGGGGGCTGCAGTATAATGATGTGTGAAACAAAAGCACATGATGACCAGGTACTTGATGCATGGAGAGATTTTGCAAGTTGCTCTGACGTGAACATTTGAATTAAAGACAACAGGACCGACATGGAGTTCATGCCTGTACTTTTCAAATGACGCAGTAGGATGACAGCCATTCTTTGCTGCATCACGGTCAGTACTACTATACTTTCGAAGCATGACGTCATCGTGCAGCCCCACATGCCAATGGCACGACAGGCTTTGCGCGTTCCTTTCTTCTCTGCTGTTGTTGCATGGGCAATGTGCTAGCCCGTTACATTGTCGAAGTAACTATACTTTAAAACCCCAATGCAGCCATTTATGCTTTTCCCCAGTCTCGCAAGTCTGACAATGAACTGAATGTCTAAGAACATCACATGCACTACCCCTGGTGACAACGTAAGGATTCAGCACACACGCCACCCACTCAAAACCATAGTTCCCCAAAAACACTGATACTGAAAGGAGTTATCCTGCACGATGACATCATCGAAATCAGTGAACACCAATTGGTTGGGGCATCAATAAGACTTCCGTCTCAAATGAGAGCAGCGTATTCGCCACTGAACCCTTACGTCGCCACTAACAGAAAATGGGTCCTGTTGGGATAGCACATCCAAAAAGAGGACACAGTGAGGTAAAAAAGTCAATGACACAAAATTTTTAATTGGTTCCGAAAGACAAACTGTCTCAAGTTCTTTTTTTTTTTTCGTTTTCTTTACATATCCAGGACACAGGGAGCTTCGTAGTCACTGAGGGGTAATAGCAGTGAAATTTTCCAAGGTGGACCGAAGGGAGGTAAACAATGTGAGGAGGGTCTCCTAACCTATTGATAAAAATGATGCCGCCACAACAACGACAGAAAGAAAATGTCTCTTGCTCATCAGCCTGTTCTAGCGCATGAGTCATGTTTTTTTTTTTTTTTTCATTTCTGCCCCGTCAGTGATAGGTGATCGCCCGTATGGAATTGTTTTCATCGGCGTAGTAGGTACTTACAGGAATGTTAAACCTAATCGGGGGCGGAGGTTCCTTCAGTTTGAAAGGGTGGTGGTGTGTTTGCTGGAACTCTTCGGCCACTTCCTCTGCTGTCTTGGGTTCCACTTCGCCAGCGTACTCGCGCTTTTCTTCATCGGAGATGGCCCGGCAGATTTCTGCAAGAAGAGACAGAAAGAAATAGAGGAGAAGGCAGGATAAAGAGTCTGTTGAAACACGAGTTTAACTAATTAACACAGACAGCAATTCACAAGTCACTGTACCAACAGAAAGACTGGAGGCAAAGGATTCTTGGCGAAAGACCCATAGGTCAGCGAACTCCACTCATGAATCGACTCACTCGCACTCAGACTCAGATCAAGCCGAGAGTCTGAGTCCAAGTGAGTCCGGGTGAAGAAAATTTTCGTAAGTGCGAGTCTGAGTGAGTTTGACCCAGGACACTTTTTGTGAGCCTAAAGCGATGCGAGTCCAAAGCGCAAAACATATTGCTTGAGTGAGCTTGAGGGCGTTCCACTTTTTTTTTGCCAATCTGTGTTCCTATCTACTCATCTACAGCATTATTATTGGCTTTAACTGGACTAGCATTAGTACATTCAAGTCTCATGATAATGAAGTTGCATCTTCTACGAAAATAAGTTCGTTACATCCAAAATTCTTTATACTAAATGTATAGTCCTAAAACCATCTATTGCAAGATTATTTCTAATTCACTTCGTTATAACAAATACTTCACTATATCTAGGTCCCATTATATCGAGGTTTGAGTGCAGTTAAACCCCTTTATAAGAGGCATCCTCTAGGCACACTGTTGTCTCATATACCCATTAGTCTCTTACATCAGTGTCTCTTATAAATGGGTTTGACTGTATTCTCGTCTACTCACATATATTCCTAAACAGCATCATTCATACACCATTTCAATATTTACAGATCAGAAGGGTGAATTATGCAGCGGGGTGCCTTGACTCCCCCCACTTTTTCACCAACTCTAAAGGCTGAAAAAAAAAAAAAAAAAGAAAGACTATCATCTTTAAAAAACTTTCATGAGTGTGAGTCCGAGTGACTCTGGCTTGAGAAACTTTTGGCGAGTGCAAGTGGGTCCAAAGCGCAAAATAGATTCAATGAGCGAGTCTGAGTAACTCCGCAGGTTTTGCCAACTTATGGCAGACGACGTTTCAGTTTCACTTACCCACAGCATGCTGGTGGCCATGACCAGACACTACCACTTATGAACATCTTCATAATTACATCCAAACCATTGCTTCTTTTGCAGCTGTCTGAACAAACAAACACCTTAAAAAATGTGTAGCGTGTGGTCCATTGTGAGCCATCAAAAATGTATCCCAAGCAGAACAACGCAGCAGCTGTGAGGCCTCCTGTGCCACCTACACAAGGCTTTTCTCAAGAAAGCTGAGCCAGCTCGGAGCCAACTAAACCCAGAACATGCCCCAAGCTATCAAAAAACATTCCTGAGATAACTTACGCTGACTCAACCAAGCACTGCTCACGCAAGTCTACTTCGATGCATTTACAATTCTCACACTCAGCTGCTCCATCCGTTATCCCTGCTCCGAGTACGTCTTCTTCACAAGTGCTCGGAAGCGTGGCCATGCAGCCACTCACCAGTGAGTGCAGCCAGTGACTTTTTGATCTTTGGCGGCTCCTCGGTCATGCCGAGGGTCACGGCGGGGCCCGTGCCATCCCCCGACTGCGCCAGGGGCAAAACAGGAGGCTCACTAGGTGGTGTCGAAGTTGCAGACGAAGCCACGTCCAATTTGGCAGCCATCGATGACCTTGGATCAGCTGCGGCTGCCGCCACTGCTGCAGCCACCACCTGTGGGCAACATAAAATGCCTCCTTACAAAACTGTTGAATTCCAACAGTCTGCGAACAAATTCCTAATGAGGTTCCAATGACATTTATCAATGTTATCATGTTTAGTTTCTGAGGACATTAAAACTAATTATCCTGCAATTGCAAATTTTACAAGAAACCTTAGGAGAAAAGATTTGGAGAAATCGAATGGCCATCACAGGAAGTTTCATTCAATCTCATAACTTAGAGGAACCTTAAACACTTATAGGGCCACTCACCAAGTCCCACAACAAATTTTAGTTAGACAGTGCAAGTTGTTGGGTGTCCGATGAGGAACATTTTGCCACAAAACTTTTTTGAATCTGTTCATTACAAGCTGAGAAAACTATTTTTTTTTTAAAGCGGCACGAGACAAAAATGAGAGGAGGCGAGCTCGAAACCCTTGCCGCTCCTTCGCAAAGCCTTTGCAAGCTTCCTACCCTCACCGGCATCCGACCAATAGGTCACTTGCACATGACGTGCCCGAACAAACCCAATTCCCGTGCACGCGAGCGGCGTTTCTTTTTTTTTTTTCTTTTTTGACCATCGTTGTTTCAAGGTGTACTGCCTGTTTCTGCGGGATAGTTTGAAAACGCTGGCTTAGACGCGGTAGAATAGATGAGCAACATGAGTGCATGAACGCGAAGAAGCGTTCCGCGGCTGTCTACTCGATTGCTGACCACGACGACACGAACACATGCAAAACGCCAGCACATTAGCCCCGCACCTCGTTGCAGTTCACAGGGTAAAAAATGGAAAAAAAATGATGCTTCCATTCTCTTATTGCATCTCATTATTTATGTAGAGATTTATTAATCTCTTCACGCAACAAATACATAAACTATGCATGTCGTGTCAAGTAATTTTCGCCATGTCGCCGGTGTTGGCAACGTCAAGAGCACTGTTGACTACGTAGAGCACCAACGTCACTGCATTGTTGTGTTCGTAGGGCCATTCATACGCGCACGTCATGCCCTCATTCTCTGGGCACGCGCCCACAAAAGGAAGGGGGAGTAGCGTTCATCTTGAAATTTTAACCGTTTCCGCGGTGCGTAGTGTTGCAAATTTTGGCAGACATGATCGTGAACACCTCATCTATGCATTGCGTTTGTCAGCTTAAAATTGTTGATTGATTGATATGTGAAGTTTAAGATCCCAAAACCACCACATGATTATGAGAGACGCCGTAGTGGAAGGCTCCGGAAATTTCGACCACCTGGGGCAGCTCAAAATTGTCAAACCTGGTGAGTGGCCCTTTTGCATTCACTTCAGATAATCACAAGTGTAGTCCTGTCTACATTCTGTTAAGACACACAACAACTATACAGCCAACCCAAAAGTCTGCAATTCACCCTGGAGCTTTTGCAGAGTACAGCTAGGATTAACCAGGAATAACGAGCATGCAGGCTCCAACTGAGCAGACGAAAGCAAGCAGTGTTTCTAAGCAAAGTTTCGTGTTCACTGAAAAAGTTCATGCTGGATGGCTGAAAACGTGAATTAGTGTGTCCTATAGGCTACCACATATGCTCTGTGCATCTCTGTCAATTCTGCAGAATGCTGCTTGAATATATTTCAACTAGGTCAAATAGCCATGTTGCTTACAAAGTTCTGTTGCTGTTACTTTGCTGTGACATTAAGCACAGCAGACTGAATTACTAATATATATAGTTATAGCAGTCAGTGCTATTCTTGGTTGGCATATCTCCATAGAATATTAAGAAGCTTGCTTTTATTGACCACTTATAAGCCGCACAAGAATGACTAAATATCTGCAAAGACTCTTAAACTAAGAGAAGCAGCTTTTGAGATTTTTGCTATGCCTTGATGACTGAAAGACTTGGCAGTTTGCAAAATTATGAGAGTATTATTAAAGCTCTGTGACTTACTAAGCAAAAAGGCTGCAACGCAACGGTGGTTCTTGAAGTCACTTAATTAAAAGAGACAAACTCGGATTAGACTTCATTGTTGTCTAGTACATTTAAACTACGACTCCTGCACGCTTTGTTGCCGATGTCAGTATGAAAACTAAGTCTATTCAATGTGTTCAAAGAAATGAAGTGTCTCCTTTAGCACTCATCTTCGTGGTACCTTAAAGAACCCTGCAACGCTTTTTCAGTATGGTCAGAAAACAGGGCCAATGGGCGGTCGACGCTCCCGAGAACACGTGAGCCAGTCATCAGAGCGCAGCACGCAGCCTGGAATTCCCCACAATTCTCATAGTCATCTAGAAACTGCGCCCACTTCGCTCTACATATGATGCCATATACTCAAACGAACGTATCGTATACACAAATTCACGGCCATTGGCCGATTTGAGCATCGTGAGCTGCATAGCTACTGCGGCTGCTGTGAGAGGCTGCCGCATGCCAGCTCGTGCTCTCACAGTCACACTGTAAGTAAGCCAAACATTTGAAAAAAAAAAAAAAAAGAAAGTGCTTAACATCATAATGTGCGTGTGACAACTTCACTTAATTTGCAGCACGTTCGTCGCGACAAGCGAAGACAGAATGCAATTACGGCGTGTCAGAAAACTAATTCCACTCACACTTGACGGGTTCTAAAAATTTTTTTGCAGCGGTCGATTCGCGAGGCAATAAACTAGTGAAGCCATTCGACGGTTAACTAGAAAAGTGTTGCAGGGCCTCTCTAAATGTGTACCTCCGAAAATGTTCTATTTTCTGAAACAGAGCAGTCACAGCAGACCAGACAATCCAGGAAAGGTTTTCAGAGATGAATACATACCTAGCAAAAAGAGAAAAGTGAAAATTCTTATGGAAAAATGTCCTCGTGTTGCAAACAGACACTGGTTCCGTGGAGTCACGAGCACCCATGACAAAAAGCCACGGTATTCGAAGGCTACGCCTCAGACCACCGAGCAACAGTAAAAAAAAAAAAAAACACTAAATCACATTGTAGATACCTTTTCTACTGCTAGTACCCCAGAGGCCACCAGTAGCAGACAAATGCTATGTTTCGTTCACGCTGCATCCAGAATCCTGCAAGCACAGTGCACAAAAAAGGCGCGCAGACAACACATAGTTGATACCCCTTCCCCGATCCCACAACATACAGCACCGAAAAGTCGCCAGATCACATCCATTGGAACAGTTCATTCTCAACAGGTAGGCCTTAAGACACTCTCAATGCAAATCCTTTATAAAAAGTGTCTTTGCGAAGATACAATAGCCTAAACTCAAAGGCGTTAGAAATGGTCTTTTTAAACTTTAGAATTTTTAGCAGATGTATCAATGCTATAATTAGAACCTTCACATAGTAAAAGCTCGCTATATATGCAGTATTTTCTTTAAAGGGGCCATGACACCCAGTTCTTAATCATAATTTATGTTATGTGGGTTAATCCTTCCGCACTCACAAATAAGCTGGCGAAATTTTAGAACATTTGGTCAAGAAACCAATTTAGATTTGAATGATATTATTGGCCAATGAGTCTGGCTACACTGGCACACTCGAGAGCCGGGACATAACAAGCAGTTGGCCAAGTATGCGCCTGCGTTCCAGCAAATAATATTATTCCATGACAAGCTGTGCATCAAATTTAGATATTTTAGAGTTCCTTCAGTTCGGTACAGAAAGAGAACGATCTGTGGCTGAAACTTTGGCTGAAACTTCGGTAGAAGGTGACAGCTCTGCTTTTTCGAGCTCGGGACATCACACGCGCCATAGCAAAATGGTGGTCGCCGGCGCTGGGCAGGGTTTACAGCTGGCCACTTCTAGAACTTGTTTTCCGAAATATTCCTTTACGATCCACTTTGCAGACTTGTACAGGCATATTAGATCCTCTACCTCTAGTTTTTGTTGAAAAACACAAGTTGTTGGGTAACCATGTCATGGCCCCTTCATTCCAACAGCAACTGTTGGTTGAAAATGCGGCAATATTAGCCCCTAAATTAACACAAAAGAATTGTCAAATCAGTGGTCTGCGAACAGGAAAAGCAGGCACGCGCACTACAACGATGGACTTAAAGCTCTCAAACCAAACAAATTCATTCCTTTATAGTTATTTACTAGACCAACCATACGATTTGGACTTCGCTACTGCGCTGCTGCAGTGTTCTCTCAAACTGCTCATTTGCTTTCACCAACAAGTGAATGGCGGCAAGAAGAAGCTCAAGCGGGCCAGCTCACTTTGACAGTCGCGTTCACGGCCGCAGCCGCAGCCACAGGGAGGCCCTTGGCAACCACACCGCGCTGCAGCATGGCCTGCATGTTCTTGCGGGCAGCTTCCAGCAGCTGGGCCTTGTCTACCTTGACCACCGAGGGCTCCCTAGAAGGAATACAATGTGGTAAGCAAAGGCGAGCCTTCTAGGAAAACTGGGAATCTGCGAAATAGGCATTAAAGGCCCATCACACTGGCAGACAGCTTTTCTTGGCAATTAAGCGGGGGCTACAGGGCTGAACTGTTCAAATGCTACCCCTAGTGAATGAAGTCTCACAATTACGTCTGCATTTGCTACATGAGAAATTAAGTAAAGCTCCCGTTCTGTACAGGAAGCTCTTGGAGGCAGGACACGGCGAGATTATAATTGGATGTTGTCCGCATTTTTGGCACGCAGGAAAAAAATCACGCCTTTCACTGTACCCCAAACGCTAGAGGCGTCTGTGTCCTCTGGTGAGCTTCAGTCTCACTCTTCCATCCACTCGCCTAGATAAATTGCGACAAATGTTACCTAGGAATGGTCGTAAGCAGACAAATCAAATGCTATGCTACGCTTATGCTGTGCAGTGATCGCTTTCCACAGCTGTACAAAAGGACACCAAAACAAACTATTTGCGTACAAGTACATAAGCAGAAGCTCTAGTCCCATAGCTTTCCCTTCTCTGCCAATAACGATTGTCCACGAGTATACAACCAAGTTTTAAGACTGCGTGATAAGCCTATATAACATAGATGGCTACAACTTACAATGTTCGGAAAAGCCCCACCCAGATGACCCAAGAGTGGCTGCCGATTACTTCCACGGCCAAGAATTTGTCCCACTCATGCACTCATAGGACCAACAAACTAACTGCATGACATTTTGTACTATTTAAGTATTTGAAAGCTATTTTGGTAAGCTTACCACGTCAGCCTAGAATGCGCTCCCACTGGCGTAGAGTTGTGTGCATCCACTTCAAAGGAAAAAATCTCACAGACTTCTAAAGTTATATAATACTACAGTTTCAGATGTCATGATTAGCAAGTCACTACAGAGCTTATTCTTACGTTTGAAATAAAAGCAGAAGCGCCACAAAAAGCTAGCACAGATAGCTCGTTCTGTATGCTGAAATTCAAAAATTTCAAGTCCAGCATTACCACTTGCCAATGACAAGGGCACAGTCTTGAAGGCACAACTTTCAAGACCAATCCCTAACCACTCCCTGATCTACAAGGTCATGTTCTACAGCAAGACTTCACAGATAGAAACATAAAAAACAAAATAGTAACACAGCAATTCTCGCCCTCTGAGTTGTATACTGTTGAAGTACAGTGAGTGATCTGCTTGGTCCCACTTTCAAGTAGATCCAAACTCTATCACACGTATTGCCATCGCTCACTCGGCACAGCGTTCTAGTGTTTTTGTTACTGGTTGAGTTAAGTTGTGTTGTATGACGTGTTCTGGGTTGTTTAATCTTTGTTATGCCTACTGCGTGCGTCGTCTGGCAGTGCCGCACAACTTATCAGAGTGAAACAACAATCGTGGCGGCTTCAGCGCGCTGCGATCGAAACGGTACGATGAAACATGTCGAGGCATAGTATTAAATGGACAAGCAGGGTTCTGAATACACACGCAGTTGAAAATTTTCGAAAAATGTTTCACAAGCCTTTCAAGTGTCTGCTTTCCTGTCATGTTATTGATCTAAAAGAACTACCCTGTGTGTACTAATATACAAGTTAGGCTAGCTAGCCCACATTCATTTTAAAGGCCTTCAGTAGTAAACATAGATGAAAGAAGAGAGTGCAGCCCAGTGGTGGTACCTCCGTACCACCACTGGACTCAGGCGTAATCCCCCACGACTGAATAAAAGATTCTTTTATGTAGATTTTGTTGCCAAACTATTCAACTAAAACCATTATCATCTAGCCAACGAAAAATATTTTTTTTCTTCTAGTGAAGCTGTCTTTTTTTTTCATGGTAGCAAAAGAGTTAAATGGCAGTAACAACTTTATCAAAAAGTTAAATTTCAAGGTTAACACAAAAATCTTTCCATATCAACCATTCATGTGTCATTTCCTTGCTCAATAAGTGTGACTTCTACAGACCACAAAGCTTCTAAGAAAACTGCAGAGTAGGGCAATGTCCTTTTAAATCCTTTCATTTTTATTTTTTCACAGATAAACTGTAAAATAAATATCTACATAAGAACAGGGAGTCAAGACCAAGCTAACAGTCCCTGTTATTATTCATCCTTGATCTCTTTGTGCGACATAAAATAATGACAGACAACAGGATAGCCCAATCACTACTAAAGCTGATAGTTGTAAACCCTGCAGAAATGAAAGCACCGCTAAAGCTAACACTGCGTAAAAGCGTTTCCCTCTTGCTCAAGCCTATCATAACCATTTAACAGAACGGCGCTGGCAATCAAAGCATGCAAAGTACAATATTAATACAAGTGTTGAGGTGCACTACTATCATATTACGCTTTACAGAATTGACCCAGTATACAATCAGAGGGCCATATTTAGTTACACGTTCAAAAATCTGCAACACAAATTTAGGGCATCTCGTCACACACGTCATTCTCACACATATTGACAGAATGTTGCTTAAATGATCGGTCATGTTTTTCATTAGGTTGCAACCTAACACGAGAAAGGCCAACAATGACACACAAGCATACTAGAGCACTGCTCAGTTACCTGTTACGGTTTGACTACTTCGCCAAGTGCATATCGAATTTGAGCGATTAGTCACTCAATCCATTAGGCAAACCGCGTGCTGATGTTGGCAACTTCACGGCGCAACCTGCCATTTTTTTAAATAACCTTTTATTCAAGGTTTAACAACATCACTAGTTCTGCTTGCTTGAATGAGTAGTAGAATACATAAAATGGCATGGTGCCTACTCTACATCAGTAATATTAAACTTCATTCTTGCTTATTCCGAGGAGAAAAAAGTTTCCGCTACATCAGGAGTGCAACAGCCAAAATACAATTTGGAGAAATTTTCGGAGCAGCAAAATGTTACTATTGGAGCACGAAAATCCAAATTTGAAGCAGGTTACGGGAAACATGATTGATTGATTGATTGATTGATAAGTGGGGTTTAACGTCCCAAAACCATTATATGATTATGAGAGACGCCGTAGTGGAGGACTTCGGAAATTTCGACCACCTGGGAGGTTACGGGAAACAAGACTTAATTTTTTATCCCAAAAGACCAAATTTGGAGCAGTATGAAGAAGTGTTACCTTCAGAAAAAAATATGTACAAACCATTCAACATGCCCTAAATCGTCCAGTGTAAGAGCACTGCTATTTTAATAAAACTTGTATTTTGAACAACCTCACTGAGCAAAGGATGATAACATCCACATTTGGATTTGGCGCATCCAACTGTGAATTCAAATTTGGTCAGCCAAGCTGGCAACATTGATATACAGGGGATTCGTAGGGGTGGCCCAAAAAAAAATGGAACACAGTTTTGTTTAGGGTGCCAGAAATATCATACACTGCTCCAAATGATTACGAGCAACTTTTTCAGGTGTCATCGATCCTACTAGAACTCACAATTATGTGCCGTATACACGCATGAGCAATTGAACAAAATGTGCTGTTTCATGATTAAAGCTAAAAGCCCCTTCAAAATCATAATGCATTTTTCGCAGGGCACCGGTGTACTGCGGCAAAGGTGGATTAAGCAGCGTTCTGCACGAGTTGTACAAGTCATAAAACACTGCTCGCCCCCTCCCCCCACCACCATTTTTTTGTCCTTTTTTGCGGTGGGATTAGGTTTCGGGCACAACTTCTTGGCTCGTTTGCAAGGTGCATTCGACCAAATAAAGAAACAATGGCGTGCACTTGTTGGCCCGGCGATGGCACCGGACATCTATCACCGGGACAATGCAACTTCAAGACAGAACAACCTTTTACCTATCGTTGCTATGGCAACCAAAGTGGTCACTGGAAACGCGATTTCCGCAGCGCGTCAAGTCTGTTCGCATGCGAGAAACGTGGCATACGCTTCCAGGTTTAGTTGTTAACATGCCATAGATATGTTTGCTTACTAAGAAGTTCATTTTTTCCGCGAAGTGTTGGTGGCTACAGCAAACCTGTTTTGGTGGCTATAACAACTCCGCCGACCGATCCGCAGCCGTCTGCAGACCAATGGCACGCAGCTTTGTTAATTTATCTGGTCGATCATGTGTCATGAGTGCCCTGACTTAATGGGAATATATCTTAAACCACGCTTTACAATTAGAATCTGCGTGCTTGGATTGATTGATGACGCAAACTCCATGCAGATAGCCATAGTGGGCGCCATTACAGGTTGAAATTAGCGCACCCGAGAAAACTTCGAGGCTGGTCGGGCATTTTGGCGCAGCGTGGTGCAATTCCAGCAAATTTCATAATTTTGGCACAGCTCGGCGCGAAAATTGGGGATTGTATCAAATTGGCGCAATTGGCCCAGCTGTTGCACCCCTGCCACATACACAACATTGCCATTACACTAGTTACCCACCAAACTACGTCATTTCCATGAAAACAGTAGGCGGCAATCCCTTACGAGAACAGCCAAAGCACAGGCCTCATTAGGCAGCATTCACTGACAGCACCTCAGAAGCATATAGCTGGTTATATATTAGTAATACAACGAAAACATGTTTAGATTACAATGTTATTCATCAAACCCAGATAATGGCAACTGCTTGCCACGCAAGAAAACATTTTCAATGAATGCCAAATATTCCATGTGTGAAAAAACTCGCCAACCTGCTCTCCCTGTTCCTGTGGTCTCCTTGCTGGTCACTGTGGCCTTGTGGTAGTATTCTGTTGGCAAGTGATCCGGTGTAAAAAAACACGACACCCAAATCCAAGTTTTCTTTTTTTCATTTCCCCCAATTGTACATGTCCCATTAGTGAACTACCACAAACAACGGGTGATGAGAAATTTCTGAAAAAAGTAACAATGTACATACGTATGTAAAATATGCGCAAAAACAAACGCGGTTATGTTGGAAATGTTTGCTATGACCATGAGCAGCGAAAGCAAGGTTAGAAAAATGAGCTACGTCAATGAATGCTTAGATGAAAGGAAGTCTCCACTTAAAACTTCACATCAGCGAAATGCCTTTGTAGTGCGAGAGAATGAACACAAATGCACCCACTTACACACACAGACACCAGAAAACAGTGTACCTTACCCCCCCATTTTCCCGCAAACGCTTACAGTATTCTTGGATTCTCAGAAAAGTGGGGAAGTTTAGGACAGAAGGCTGAGCTAGGTGGAAGCAGAAGTTTTTTCCAAAAGACATATTTTGTTTTTGTTTTCACAAGTTTAGTTTCTATACTTTTATAAACAAAAAAATCTTCTATAAAAAATTAAGTTTGTAGTTAATCTCGAAGTAAGTTAAAATCGCCTTTAAAGAGCCCAAGGTGTCAAAAATTACCAGGCCTGTGCGGAACACAGCACAATCATAGCAAAAGCTGGTAATGTGGCCTTTCTAGGGCACTCTCTTTAAACACTCTTTGGGCACCTCCTACAATCACACTTGCAGGACAACCAGTACGCCATAAATTATCATAACTTTCGTGCAGTGGGGAGTTGTCCACTGTGCCATCAATAATCATACTTCGGATAAGTGTGGTACCGGCGACACACTTACAAGGATTTATGCACACTTTGTTGATACTGTAGCTGACGACGACGAATCATCTCCGAGGCTTTCGTAATGGTTTGAAGCCCTAGATGATCCAATGACTCGTTAAGCAATACACATTGTGTGACGCCCATTTGTTCCCTTGCTGTTTGTAAAACAATTTTTACACATATCAACGCGATTCCTTGCCCAACATGAAGCCTGCCTAGGATCAGTTTGCAGAGTTTCAAGCACCGGCATAACTCAGTGGTAGAATACTGGAGCGGACATAGAGGGGGCCTGGGTTCGAATCCCATTTTGTCCTCTGCATTTTGGGGGTAAAGCACCGGAGGGCCGCGGCATACACCCAGCATACCTTTGGGGTGGCCATTCGATTACAGTTGCTTCTGTTAACGGCACTGCTGGGGTCAGACGGCGCTCACTTGCAGCGCGCACCCCATTTCTCTCGCACTCCGACCAAGGATACGTGTCGCTCACCGCGAATGAACACGAGGCTCAACAGCAAGCACTGAGGGGCTCGCAACGCCAAAGCGGCGCGAAGGCGTCGGCAAGTGAACCCGGATTTCAGAGCTCACGATGCGGCGGCGAAACAACAACAAAGGCAAGCGCAACCAGACGCGGTGAATGCGCGAGAAGTCGTGGCGTGACGGCAAATGAAGGCAAGCGAAACCAGAGGTGGCGACAGCGCAGCAAGTGGCAGCAAAACGACGAAGGCAGACGGACCCGGAGTTGAGAGCTCGAGAAGGTGAGGCCAAACGCAAGAAGCATACGATACCACGACGTAAACAATGCTGACACCTGCTTAAAGTGCGAATTCCACAACTGCAGGTTTGAACACAGTTGCAAAGTGGGCAATTGGTTTGTGGTTTGGTAACAGTGTCACCAAGATCAAGAACATTGTCACTCATTGTATGATGTAGAGTGGGCAATGTACAGGAATTCACAGTTATCTGACGATACCCAATGCTCTGCCAACTCGTAATCATTCACTCCGTGGATATGCAGCGATTTTTTTATTCGGTTAGTGCTTTCCTTACTTCGCACGATAGTGGTTACGGACACTGGCAGCAGACAACTACAGCACTAAAAACAATTCTTGTTGTGATCTCATAACAGCTTTCGCTGCAAAACTAAAGAAAAAAAAAAGCTTATTGCCTAGGGTCTCCTCGAAATTGTCACCTTGCTCTTCCCATTGCATTACGCATGATAGTTCACAAAATCCGCATGCTTAAAATAACCATGATTCCCAAGCTTTAATACTACATTTGCCACACAGATCAACTTTCACTTCCATACTTAAAATGTGTTTCTGTCAAGCTGCGATTTTGTGTGGCTTCTTGAGTTTTGACATCATGTTTTTGATGATCTTGATTGCCAGATCGGGATAAAATTTTTCACATTTTTTTAACACATGAAGAGTGCAATTACCTTCTTTGAAACATGATATCATATATTTAGTTATGAACTTAAAGCAAGCGACCGGTATGTGCTGAACTTTTTAGAACTTCTCACTTCACAATTTTTCTGGTTCCTTCAAGTGCTTAACGCTTACTTTTCTGATAAGTAATTGCATTCTACAGTTAATGTGCAGCAACATCGGCCATTAAAGGCTAATAAATATATCCTAAGTGGCAGAAGAACTCTGTCCAAAAAGAGCTATATTTTCACATTGTCATGGTACAAAACAAGAACTATGCAACTTACTATCAAACTGATTGCATACTTTAAATCCGCATAAAAACTTATGTAAACAGCAAAAATTTCATTGGCCTAGGCTGAAGATTGAATAGAAACCTTTTTTTTTCCGAGTAGCATCTTCTTTTAAAGTAGAAGAAAGTAATGCGTGCAGACAAAACATGAGAGAAGAGAAGCCGAGAACGAAAACGTCATGTGCTTTTGCGCAACCCCGGGGGTCCCTCTTTTTTTGGGGTGTGTACACAAGTGCACGCTTAAAGGGGCCCTTCCGACACAAATCAAGCGTGTTGTTTTCATCGTTTCTTCTCGAACTGTTGAATGCACGGATACCTTGCTAGAGTCCTTCTAGAATTATTCGTCAACTGTTATTAGTATCTGTAAACCATATGAAGAACTCGAATGCCCAATAAAAAGCTTTGGCCAAGTGTTTACAGTCTACTCTGTTCAAATCAGTGTACCCTGACGATTTTAGCAGCGACACTGACTGAATACAATAGTGAACACTTGTTCAACTCTTGCAGCAGAGGAAGGCTGAGTAGTGCCCCGCATGTTTCGCAGCAGAAACAAATTAGCAAAGTGCGACTATCATTGACTTTTTTTTCCAAGTTGTTTGGCTGCCAAGTTGACTGCGTGTCACTCCCAACTCAAGTAAAGCATTCTATGGTGTTCCTGTGTCCAAAATGTGAGTGGAGCCAACTGTTAGCAGTTTCCAGCTGCTAAAATGGTCACACGCTTAACGGTGGTGAATTTTACAGGTCAATGCAATGCAACTTATAAAATTTTAACCGCGAAGCTGTTTACCTCAAGCCCCCATATGCATTAGCCACATGCATTCTCAAGGAGGGGTATTCTAGAAGGCTTGAATCCATTTTGGGAACAAGTTGCATGAACAGGAATGAAGAAGGGTAGAGGAAATAATGACAGTGTGGTGACTGCACCCATCACAATGCAAGCCATAGTACGAGAAGTCCGAAGATATAAGAAATTAAGCACCTAAGAGATTATCAGTGAGGCATACTAAGTACTAGCCAAAGATATACCTAAAGTGTGTGCAATGCCAGCCATAAAAGAAGTTATGGTAACTGCTTCCTTACTTGCAGAAAATTTCCTAACGTTTACTTCTCACAACTTCAAAACGAATGTGTTTTAGTTAGCTCATTAAACAGAACCTGAAGGGACAAAGAAAATGTGTTTTGTTTAACAAGAGTTCTGTTTACTCAGAGATTAACTAGAGTGGAGAATCTAAGTATGAAATGAATCGTGTCAGAGGCAGTACTTTCCTTTAAGCAGCAGTTCTGTTTAACAGATTTCCATTTACAGAGAATCCAGTGTATTTGTACCAATATTACCTGACAAAACGCTAGATCAGATAGTCCCATTCACACCTTTCTTCTTTAAGTAAGAACTAGCCTCGGTCGTTAGGCCATTTCAGTGCAAATGGCCAAGTTTTTTTTATGCGTGTTGAAAGATGACGCTCAGTAAGACTGAAACATGTGAAGAAAATGGGGAAGAGAGATTGGAGAAATCGGCTCATCACCTGTTCCGAGCTAGCACTAGCTGACAAGAAAGCTGGACTACCTAGAAGTTTGTAACATGTCACAAATATTTGTATGTCGTTTGCATATTATTTATTCATTTATTTATTATTATTTTTTCAGCTCAACATTTAAGCAGTCATGTGTGTTGCAAGCAAACCTGTGTTTCAAGAATAACATTTTGTAAATTTACATAAGTGCAGCATATTGTCTTTCTGAAACAATAAATACAGTAAGCAATGGGTTTCGAATTACGGCATTGAGCACAAGAGGTCTAGACAGTTGAAAAAGCCCAGCAAATTCCATTCGCAAGAATATAATATATTGACATTTAGATGTTCAACTATCAAATGATACAATGCAAAAGTGCTTGGCACAAAAAGATATGCACATTGAAAACATTGAGGAATGGTAGGTAGCGCCCTGGCTGAAAAAGCCGCAGCCAATAAAGAGGCCAGGTGTATCGCATGGTGTATCTCCATGACAGTTAACTGTATCATGACTCAAGGTTTATCTGCCATGAAAGTTAACCGATTTTGACTAGTATCGAATAACCCTTACCTTGCTCAAGAAAAGCACTATTAATATAAGCTGCAGCAGTGAACAAACTAGTGTCAACCTTGGAGAACACAGCTTCATAAGTAATGGCAGCTAACTCTGTAAAGTACATCTCTAAACAAAATTCAGTCAATCAATGGCATGCATAACCACGTAACGTGAAACAACTTTCACTGTCTCTTATTTTCTAATTTCAACCAAAAGGGCACTCTTGTTCTCCTTTTCGGAAAGCGGCAACACTAAGCAGATCAAAGAAGCAGAAGGAAAATCTTATGAGTTCATATCGCAGCAGCAACAGAAGCGTACATTCAATGCTGCCTACATCATGCCTAAATAAACTTGTTCTAACTGTACGTTTCTGTCAATTATGCTTCGATGTAAGGGGCATTTATGAAGAGGGTGTATCTGACCATAATGACATCGCTAACAGCTTATCAATGTAATCTGTCGATGGTGTTCTTATGTTGGCTATGCATAAAAGATGCACAAATAAATTTACCCAGGCTTTTGCCTGCCGGATAACTCGACTGTATGATCACTAAAAGGCAAAGCTGTGATTCACCCCTGCACAACCGTGATCACCTTTGCTGACCTGCATTCTAGGTGCATGTCTTGCAGAGATTTACCACATTTACTAGATTGTAACGAGACTGCAATTGTAATACGAGGGGCGACTTTTCACCTATCGAGGATGAAAACATAGTTATTTCAGTGTTCGATTGCTACGTGAGGGTCATCAACTTCAGGTAGCAAAAATCTGGCAAAAAAAAAAAAACCACAGCATATCCACAAAGTGAATTATGATAATTGGGCGAAGCTCCGGGGATCATTAACCCCCATACATTGCCCACTCGATGATGCAAAGACGTGACAAGTGTGTATAGTAATGTTGTTTATTAATCACAATGCGCATATGGCGTTGACATGCCCATAGGGATATTCATATGAAAATCCTATCCGCAGAGTGTCACGCCGACAAACGGGGGCCATGGCTTGACCCTAAGGAACTTCGCTCCTAAAGCTTGTGTATATTTGAGTGAGTACGGTACAGCATCACGTGCTTTCCAAGTTCTCGCTCATCCACTCCCGACACAGCATTACCTGCCAAATGCTTTTTGTTTTACTGTGACCAGAACCAGAACACTGACTACTCACGTTTGATCCTGAATCCACACCGCAGCAATCACTTAACGCCAAACCCATCGAAGTTCTTTCCCAATATTCCTTGAGCCATAGCTTCAAGTTAAAAAGTACACTGCATTTACAGAAAATCATCTTCCAGCCCTGCAACTAAAGTGCCAATAAGAATCATCGTAAAGGCTTAACCCATTGGCTGCCAAATATTATGTGCTGTACAGCTCCTCATTTCTTAGAGGCATTATTTCCATGCGTTTGACCCACGCAGACCATTACACATTCGATCGCAGCAATGAATATTTCAAAAAATGCTAAGTTAAATTCAGAATATGTAAACCCACTTTCAGTTTTAAAAATTCAGAATATGTAAACCCACTTTCAATTTCAGAACCCCAACAAGCAGTCACAATTTTTTTTTTAAATGTTTCAAACAGTCAGAATTATAATCAGATGCACAGTGTTCTCACTCATAGCTACTGCATTTTTTATTTCAGCGAGGGGGTAGAGGAGGAGGCCCTTCTATGCACTGGTTCCGATGCAGCCACAGATTTTATCTGACAGGATTCGATAAAATCAATGAGGACAATATGGCCCTTGGATTGATTAGAGTCATGTATGAATTAATATTTTTGCATGTGGGCACCCAACACTTACCAACCGAGAACAACAGATTAGTATTACTTTAAAAGGTACCCACAGTGTCAGCCCAGCGACATATATAAACTTGCGCAGAACATATGCGCAAGTTTATATGACTATGACTATGCTGACATCATTGACCTTGGTAATCCCCCCCCCCTGCCTTTGGGCTCATGTGCACCTGTTCCATTTTGGCAGTCAATAGGTTAAAGCTGAAATTACAGTTACACTTCAGAACACTGTAACACTAGTGTGCAATGCTTTAAAAACTACCAAGAGGCAGGCAACCCTCCCCTGTGAAGTGGAACCAGCCACCAACACAATGGAACCACTCCCACATGCAAAGTACAATTACGTGAAAAAGTGCTCGGTGCATGAAGCACCAAATGTATTACAGCACAGACCACCGCATACATTTCAAAAACAGAGAAGTATTGGCTGGTTTTGCACAACTGATCCACAAGACACCGTAGGACTTGCATAGCACATCATAATGCCTCCTAGTTATAACGTGTGAGTGCAAGTGAAAATATGTAAAACAGAGAACAATCCACAGAACCAGGGCCGGACAAGGAAGCTGCAAGTCATCACGACATACCTTTCACGGCTGCGGCTTTTCCTTTTCCGTTCTGGAGGGCTGTTGGTTCTAGAACGCCGGCGGCTTCGGCTGCGACTCTTCTTACGTGGAGGCGGTGACCTCCTTTTGCTCACACTTCTCTTCCGAGGACTTCTGCTCTTCTTTCGCAACCGTTCGGCACTACGCTTGCGCTGCAGCTCCATGGCTCGGCTCCAGCTTCGTCGTGGACGGCTCCTGCTACGAGGCCTCCTCTCTCGGCTCCTTCGCCTGTCTCTGCTTCGACTTGGGCTCTTCCTGTCAAGGCTTCTCCTCCTTTCTCGGCTGCGCCTCCTGTCCCGGCTGAGGCTGCGCCTCCTGTCTCGGCTGAGGCTCCGCCTCCTGTCTCGGCTGAGGCTCCGCCTCCTATCTCGGCTGCGGCTGCGCCTCTTGTCTCGGCTTAGGCTCCTGCGCCTATCTTTGCTTACGCTTCGCTTCTTCTCTCGACTGCGGCTTCTCCTCTTATTCCGAATGGGGCTTTGCTTCCTGTCTCGGCTGCGGCTTCTCCTTTTGTCTCTACTGCGACTCCTTCGCTTCTCACGACTGCGACTCCGCCTCTTTTCTCGGCTGGGACTTCGCTTCTTCTCTCTACTCCTGCTTCTTTTCCTCTCCTTGCTGCGGCGACTTCTGTCTCGGATAGGGTTCATCCTCCTCTCACGACTTCTGCTTCTCTTTTTTTCTCGGCTCAGGCTTCTCTTCTTCTCTCGACTGTGGCTCCTTTTTTTCTCCCGGCTGCGACTCCTCTTTTCTCGACTTTTGCTCCTTTTCTTTTCTCTGCTGCGGCTCCGTTTCGAGTCTCGGCTTCGTCTTTTCTTCGCTGGACTTTCGTCACGTGTCTCCCTGTCAGGACTGTCTGGAGAGGTGCTTCTACTTTTGCTGGGATCTTTAGAAGCGCCCCTCTCTGGACTCTGACTTGAGCTTGATGATGATGACTCTTTCCTTGTTCGAACTCTTTCAATGGAGGATGTGCTTGATGGACTCCTGCTACGACTCTTACGTCCATTGTCTGAGGTACTCCTTGTGTCGTCACTGTAACTGGTTTCTTTAGCTTTGTCGCCTGTCGTCGTACTTGGCTTCTTTTCACCGTCGTCATAAGAATCCGAGCAGGCAGATGGGCCTCGCACAGAGGATGAATTAGCTCCACTTTTGTTTTCTGTGTTCAAGTCTCCAGAAAGTCTGGTGCTTGTGGGTCGCTCTTCTGGGAGTCCAGGGCTTCCAGTTGAGCTGGACACTGCGCTTTCACCGCTTGGGACAGTAAGCTTCTCATAAATCATCTTGTCTCCTTTACTTGTACTCCTATCTTGCCGGTCCTGCTGCGGTTCTAGGCTTTTACACACAGTCATGTCCATAAGAGAGCCATTACCACCAGACTGACCTTTAGTGCTTGCCAATAACATGTCCCCAGCCAAGAAGCTCTCTTTAGAGCTACTGCTACTCACAACTGGAGTGTGAAGTGATTTGTTGTCTGCTTTTGTTCCCAACGATGAGCTAATATCAGAGCCAGCTGGTAGATCTCGCTCATCATCCATTTCATCATGAGAGTGCTGTGCTTCCTTATGTGCTGGAGAAGTTCTGGCTTCATTTGGGGGAAGTGGTCCATATGGAGCATCCTTATCCTCACCTTCCGTTTCTGAGGGTCGTTGCTTCTCAAGTTCTTTCTCTTTCTCATCATGTGTACGGTCCTCACCTTTGTCATCTGCATCAGGTTCATCAGTTTCAGACATTGGCGATGCTGCCCTGTTATCTTCAGGCTTATCATCTTGTGAGCTAACACTGTCAGCATCACTGCCCCTGCGTGGCTTTTTTTTGACTGGCGAAGATGGCTTCGCTTTGCTTTTTCTTTCGGGGCTGCTGTCATACTCACTGCTGAGCTCGTTCTTATATCGTTTCAGGATCAAGCCCGCCCTTGGCGTCTCTCTGTCCCTAGACTTCCTCCTGCTTGAGTCTCTCCCTTTGCTCTGGCTTCGCCGCTGACGTACCCTCTCTCTGCTTTGGCTACGCCTTTTGGTCTGGTCGTGGCTGCGGCTTCTACGAGACCTGCTGCCGCTTCTCTTTCGAGCTGAGCGTGTTCCACTGCGCCCAACACTCGTACGCCGTTCCCGGCTTTTGCTTCTCTTACAGTCACGGCTTCGGCTTCTTCTTCTGTCCCGGCTTTTGCTCCTCCTCCGATCACGACTTTTGCTTCTTTTTCGCTCACGACTTTTGCTCCTTTTTCGTTCTCGGCTCCTGCTCCTCTTTCTGTCCCTACTCTTGCTTCTCTTCCTTTCTTGACTCTTGCTCCTCCTTCGCTCCCTGTTTTTGCTTGGCCTTCTTTCTCGACTCTTGCTTCTCCTCCGCTCACGCACTGGGCTTCTCTTCCTATCTCTACTCTGGCTTCTCTGTCTATCCCGACTCTTGCTCCTTCTGTCACGGCTCTTGTTCCTTTTACGGTCAAGAGTCTTGCTTTGCGTCCTGTCTGGGCTAGCGCTCTTTTTTCTAGCATGGCTGCCACGTGCACTGTGACCTGGGCTTGCGCTATCACGTCTGTCACAACACTCCTTCTTTGTACTTTTTTCCTCGGGGTCTGCCCGGTCATCCTTGCGCAGCTTCTTGATGTCGCTGCTCGGGCTTGGAGACTCGCTACTCCGTGATCTTTTTGTGGTCGCCTGGTTCGGACTGCGACTTCTAGATGAACGAGAGCCTACTCTCTCCTTGCTGCTGCTGCGACTTCGTCCCTCTGCTGGTGAAGAGCTTCTGGACGAGCACTCTGATTCGTTACCATCCATTGCTTCCTCTGCTGCACCTACACGTGGAGCTGTGCTTGCAACTTCAGGCTTTTTTGTGGGAGATGGAGGATTCGATTCACTCCCAGGTGGTCCACTAAGCTGTGAAGCAGTGCCAGTTGAGTCCACAGAGTCGGATGATTGATTACCACGGCCCTTTTGTGGCTGGGGTGGGTGCTGGTCATGCTGCTGCTCATTCATATGGGCAGACTTTTCCTGCGGAACTGGCAATGTCACACCCGGGCCAACTTGACCGTGCCCTGGCAAACCCGTAAACTGGTAAGGAACATGTACTGGCATCACAGTAGCCGAATACAGTGCCCCGCTGTGCACGTTTACAGGTGGCGGCAGCACAGTTGCAAGAGATATCTGAGGTGTCAGCTTTGCTGAAACATCATGAAAAGCAGATTGTTGTGCAGCTTTTGTAGCAGGGCTTGGCAAAGCAGACAGTTCTTCAGCTTTGTTTGTGGACTTGTCAGGAGCAATCAATGGTGGATCAGCGGATGGCTGCACCGTGGCCACAGATCCAACAGCACCAACCCCATCTTGCCTTCCCTGCAAGAGGCCCTTTTGTGCGGCACTTTCACTTGTATTGACTTCTCTAACAAAAGGCCTCACCTGGCCCACAGGTTTGGTTACTTCAGGCTTCAACCAAGGGGGCGGTGGTGGTGGCTGCAATTCAGCATAGGTCCAAGGAATGGCAGCTCTGGCGGGTGCTCCCTTAGCCAATGTCTCCTCAGACGTAGGGGCCTTCTGCAGTGGCACACACTCTTGCAAGGCCTTGGTTTCAGTCTGATGTCGAGAAGTGATGGAGGGTGAGCTGCAACGTTCATCAGAAGGCAGGCTCTGGCTGAGGCAATCCTCCGCTTCAAGCTCGCCACCAGAGGACAGCGAGTCTGAAATGTCCATGTCCTCTAGTTGAGTGTCTTCAGACTGGGCTGCAGGCTCTGCTGGCAGTGGCACTTCCTCAAGGCTGTTGTTTGCTGGTTGGCTTTTCTCGTTCTTGCCAGCAGCACCAGAGCCTGTCTCAGGCTGCGAGGGTTTTGTCGTTGATTCCACTCTGTCGGGGCTTGGCTCCTCATCAAGACTAGCTTCTTCTTCCTCAAATGGTCCATAAAGAACCACTTGGTTTTTGCCGCCATCAACGGAACTTTCTTTGTCACTCGCTCTGTCCTGCTTTGTTTGCTCGTCTGTCGATTTCGATCGTTTTTCTTTACAGTCTTCATCAATAGAGCTTTCACTGCTCTTATCAGGTGTTGAAGGTCTAACACTAGAGGCCTTCTCTTCACTCTTTTTATCTCTCTCATTAGACTTGCTACGGTCTGAAGAACTGTCACAACTGCTTGAATCATGTGAAGAGCGCCTTTGTTTGCTCGCCGACCGTTTACGGCTGCAACTACGACTTCTCCTCTCTCTTTTAGGACTTTGACTTTTTCTCTTATGTCCTTTATCCCTGCTTGTACTTCGTCGAGAATTTTTAGAGCTATGGCTTTGACTACGGCGACCTCGATGCCTACTCACTGACCTTTTGCGGCTTCGGCTCCGCCTTGGTGGTGATCGACCACGACTTTGCTTGCTTCCAGACCACCCTCGGCCACGGTTTGGGCTTGGGCTGCGACGACTTTCAGGTCGTCTTGGACTACGGCTGCGATGACTTTCAGCACGCCTCGGGCTACGACTGCGACGGCCTTCGGTACGTCTTGGGCTGCGGTTGCGAGTAACTTCAGAACGTCTAGGGCTACGGCCACGAAGACCTTCTGAACGCCGAGGGCTACGACTGTGACGGCCTTGAGACCGCCTTCGGCTGTGACTACGGCCAGTCGATCTTTCAGGACTACGGCTCAGCCGGCCGCGGCTTAGGCCACGGCGCTGGATTCTAATGGGACTTGACCGTTTTGGACTACGGGAGCGACCTCGTGATCGGTCATATCGGCTGTTATCTCTACTCTTGCTCCTTTCTCGTCTTAAATCCTTGCTCTGAGTGCCACGTCGGCTCCTGCTGGAACTGCGAGCTCTGTTTTGCCGGGAAAGTCGAGGACTCTCCCTTTGCGAAAGACTTCGGCTACGACTTTTGCTCCGCTTGTCTCGGTCATCTTCAGATGAATCAGATGAGCCAGACGATCGACAACGCTTTGTTCTGTAGCTTCGCCCTTTCTTTTGTGTTGGTTTTTTAGCTGGCTCTGCTTTTGAAGCACGGCTAGCAGGCCCTGCTGCAGATGCGCTCTTGTGGTCATCATCCGAACCGGAGCTGCTAGAAGCCCGCTTGCTCCTTTCTGGAGAAGTAGACACACTTGACCTTCTAGATGTTCGCCCAGTGCGTTTAGCTTGTTTAACATCATCCTTGGTTGCTGGCTCCTTCTGCTCAGTGTCACTTTTGCCACCAGGGTTTTCATCTTTGCATGTGCCGCCCTTGTCTTTCGACAACTCATCTTGCATCACTGCAGCATCTACATTTGAAGAGGCACTAGTGTCTCTACGCTTGCTTTTGCTCTTCTGTTTCTTCTTTGGCTCTTTGTCAGTGGTATCTGACTTATCCTTAGCCGAGTTTTCCTTGTCTTTGTCTGCCGTTACCTCCACCCAGCAGTCATCTGTACTGGAGTGAACCCGTTCCTCCTCCTCCTGTAAAGCAACATAAAAGGCCAAGTGAATTGTTTCACCTCAACACATCAACACACTGCACCCAACCAGCATTCTGCTCTAGCCAATATCACATGGCAAAAACAGGTTGTCTGTGCCAAATGCAAAATTCGTGTATGAAAGAAAATGATGCCCCATTGATGTAATGGCAATACAGTCTTAGGACTTAACAGTGACTCTTCAAGAAGACTTCTTTCCTGAACAATGCCCGGCTACTAAGTAGATCCACAGTTACAGCTTAAAATTCAATCACTCAGCATCTGTTCTGCCCGAGGCACGAAGTAAGATCAGACATGACTGCCAAATTAGTTCACCTGAAAGGAACACGTTCTGCAACACTAGGTCTGCCTTCACAGCAAGCTTGCCGCATGATACCACAAATGATGAAAAGTCGCAGAGGAGAGATGCTAGTCCTCGAGCATAGCTGTGGGCGTGTGGGTCTGCCACTGCTATAGCAGCGCATGTGCTTGCCTACTTGTTCTGGGTGCTGCATGCACACCGCACCCCGGCAACGACGGCCTCTCGTGCGCTCGTGAGTGGAGTTATTTCTACATGCCTTGACAGACGACACTGCATGTTGTGAGTTGTTGGCTGGGAGCGCAAGAAAAAAAGAAGGCATGTGTGAAAGTGTAAAGAGAAGCAGAGGTAGAGAGCAAAATTATCTAGACGCTCTAGTCTGCATAGCGCCGTATGTCCCAAGCAAATGTGTGTAGCTGCAGCAGAGTCGGCGCTTCTCTGTCATATTGAGCTCCATGGCCCAGGCCACAAACGTGCTCAAAGCTACAGCCTGATAAACACTGGACTCTATCGCGTAACACTCCTACCATCTTACAGTGATCAGTGATCAGTCATCTTACAGTGACACATATTGCTAAGACTGGGCTGCGTAACAGACTAGTGACTTCAAATCAATATAATAAATAAATGATAGATGCACCAGTAAGGAACATAGTTAGCTGTGTACAAAGTAACCCTAAACCTGTTTGCTGGCAGTCTATAAACTCGGCATTAAACCAGACCTGCATGTGTGTTTGGTCAGCAAACTCTCAGGAAACACTAAATGATTATGCGTACATGTGATGCAGACACAAAGGAGCACAAGACATAACCTCTGAACTAAGTCCTATATATTCTACTCGGCATTAAACCAGACCTGCACATGTGTTTGACCAGCGAACTCTCAGGAAACACTAAATGATTATGCGTACACGTGATACAGACACAAAGGAGCACAAAACTTGACAATTTCTGAGCTAGGTCTTATATATTTTACTCGGCATTAAACCAGACCTGCACGTGTGTTTGATTGATTGATTTGTGGAGTTTAACGTCCCAAAACCACCATATGATTATGAGAGACGCCGTAGTGGAGGGCTCCGGAAATTTCGACCACCTGGGGTTCTTTAACGTGCACCCAAACCTGAGCACACGGGCCTACAACATTTCCGCCTCCATCGGAAATGCAGTCGCCGCAGCCGGGAATCGAACCCGCAACCTGCGGGTCAGCAGCCGAGTACCTTAGCCACTAGACCACCGCGGCGGGGCCTGCACGTGTGTTTGGTCAGCGAACTTTCAGGAAACACTAAATGATTATGCGTACATGTGATGCAGACATAAAGGAGCACAAAACTTAACAACCTCTAAGCTAAGTCCTATGTATTCTACTCCGCATTAAACCAGACCTGCACAAGTGTTTGGTCAGTGAACTCTCAGGAAACACTAAATGATTATGCGTACATGTGATGCAGACACAAAGGAGCACAAAACTTGACAACGCCTAAGCTAAGTCCTATATATTCTACTCAAACGCAAGTTACACTTCACGGGACAGCAATGCAGACAGTTATTGGGTGCTCTCCCGCAAATGGCCACAAAACTGAACCGACTCGGAGCTCATCAGCAGTTTCAACAACAACAAAAAAAGTCACACAGAAACATCCCGACAACATCCCCACGATTCCACAGCACATGGGTAGACATGGAAATTGTCTAGATGCCATATATTTTGTTATGTAACCACAATAGTAAGACACTGGAGACGATCAAATGCTTTAGTTGTAGTGTGATGATGCTATCTGTTTTCTTGATTAGAGATGGCATGCCTAACAGAAGTTCATTGGAGAATAAATGGGTGAGCAATGAGCAATGAACTACTCAGCCTTCCAATCAATGCATTGGACTGTTCACGTAGCTCAAGCAAAATGAAGACGGGGCAAACTTGTGACCCCTTGTGGCCTAAGTACAAAAAAACACAGTTATGACATGAACTAGTGTGTCGTGCTCATCTATCATTTCACTTTTTTGCCCACTAACACGTCATGTAGCCACATGAGATGGGTAAATCAAAGGAGCAGTGAAAAGAAAAAAAAAAAGGATTGGGAGCATCTGCCAGATTCCAACCAGCCTTAAAAGATGTCTAAAAAACAAGCATGTGTTTCTCTTTTGATGAGTCACAAAGTGTGAGCAAATATTTTAGGATGTGATCGGATCTTATAAACCATTCATCTCTATTGCAAGATTTGGATTTCTACAATGTTAAACAAGTTGCCAGTGCTCAGCTAAAAATAGTGCTGTGTAAGTAGCATCCGACTGTAATGCAGTAGTCAAGTGCTAATCAACACATTATTATGGGCTATTGATAGTGAAAGTAACTTCTCACATTTAAGGACAACAAATGGTTATCTTTAGACTGCTTTTTTATTTTTAGCTACTGAACCAGAGTGGTGAAATTTAATGTAGAACTAGGATAGTCGGGAAGTTTGCAATTGCTCATCATAACATGATAACAACATATATTGTGCACACTGCATAACATATTGTGCATGTTGCAACAGTATCAAACGTTGAATTCTGCTTTTTTAATACCAAACAGGTCGCCTCACTAAAATGGCAGTCTATAGACGTGAAATGTGGGTGGCAACGTAACGGCAGAAATAGATAATTTTTACAGGTAAAAAGAAGGCATTGAAACTACTGAACTGTCCAAGACTGTCTTTGCTTGCAATATGTACTTCAGTCAGCAGTTGAAGTTGGGGTAGGGCAGTAAAAGGAGAGACAGAGGGCAGAGGATGGAGAAAAGTAAAGGACAGAACAAATGAAATTCCTGCACAGTTAAGCCTATGGCAACATCTAGTTGATGCGGTGGTTCGCTGTGTATTATGGACCTTGAACAAGGAGCAATCACTCACAGTACCCCGCCGCGGTGATCTAGTGGCTAAGGTACTCTGCTGCTGACCCGCAGGTCGCGGGATCAGATCCCGGCTGCGGCGGCTGCATTTTTGATGAAGGCGGAAATGTAGGCCCGTGTGCTCAGATTTGGGTGCATGATGAACCCCAGGTGGTCAAAATTTCCGGAGCCCTCCGCTACGGTGTCTTTCATAATCATATAATGGTTTTGGGACGTTAAATTCTACATATCAATCAATTAAATCAATCACTCACAATAATAGTAAATCATCTTTAAGTGTGAATTATAACAAACTGTTTATATTGTAATGACTAGAAGTGGCATCGTGGCTTGGAACTTTATTCTAGGGCACTCATTACTACTCCATGGCATGAAAGACAAAGTGGTAGTCTGTGGATTTAGGAGTCTTCTACTCAGTTGTCATAATTAAAGCGCAAGTATGTTTATGCGATCACTGACATCACATCACTGCATAGAGAGAATCGAATCACTGCATTGAAGAGCACACACCATTTATTATTCGAGACAAGAAGACGAAAGACAGAAAAGGAAAGTGGTACACACCAGTCGTCGTGAGTACCACTTCTTTGTGCCCTTTCTTGACTGGTTCATTCCTTAAACACCATGAACCAAACGACTCAGACTTTAACCTTATTTATTATTGCCTACGTGCGTTACTATAAAGTGAGATTAAATTTCTTCCGATGGATGTCAAGTTGCGGTGCACTGAATGTTCCGTCAAACATGGCAGTGCACTCAGCAAAGTGAGTGTGAGCCACAATGTGTAAAACATTTATGTGAACCGAACACATAATGAAGGTCCAACAAAGGACTGAATTCGTTCAAAGCTCCAGCCACTAATTGACAGAGCTGGCAATAAGAAGTTGTGTGCAAAAATATAGACACCATACCCAAAGAGCGTATTAAGACAGTACAGAGGATGCGTATTTCTTGAGTATTATAGCCAATGTGCAACTGCTGCTGAGAATAGTAAGTTACACGTTAAGACAAAACAGCATGGACAGTAAAGAATGCATTGTGCTGCTTATGTTTTGCACTACCACAATTTAACACTGCATTCTACCAGCACAGTGTCTCGTGAACACACAATGTGCACCTCAGAAAAACTAGCGGTGACAAGAACTGCCGAGGCTGCAACTCTACGAAAGCAGACAGAGCAACCACCAACATTGCACCACAACCAATTTGCCAAGATTGCCAGCCGTCCAACAGCTTACAGCAAATTCGCACTACCAAAAAATTACTGATACCTCTTGTCCTGAGAGAGCCAGTGAATATCTTTCTCAAACTAAATATAATTAATGAATTGAACTTTATGTGCGAGTAAAATTTAGGGGATTCGGTGATGCACTTTCACGGTGGAAAAGTTATATATCTTGGAGATCGTTGAGAAGCAACTCTGGATTTTAAATATTTAAATGTTAGGCCATTCTGTCAAAGTATTGCATGCACATTTTTAGTAGAAATAAATTTCTTGTTAGCTAAGAGAGTGACAAATTCCAGCAGTCCAAATGATGAATGTTGAATATACCGTGGGAAAACGTAGACCAGAAATGCCATGCTGTAACACCTTGATGATCTTGAGAGGTCAATAAGAGGCAACGTGGAATGTGGAAGTCAAACAGAGTGGGAAGTTTTAGTGCCGCCTTCTTCCACAATTCAATGACAGGCTGTCACTCACGACCTGGATAGACTATGCGTCCCCTCTGCAGCATCTTGGGACACGTGTATCTTGATTGCCGAGCCACACCGTCAGAGGAGAGAAGGCAGATTGGCCGCAAAGGCTACAGAATGATTATACCAAGGGTATGGTCTCCTGCAGCACACAATCCAGACTCTTAAGCGGCGCCTAAACTTCCCGCGAAGTAGTGGATATCGAACTCTCGCATGAATTGAAAGTTGAAGCATGTGAAAGAGCGCCCGAATTTGTGCGCACTAAAAAGTAATAAATATGCTGGCATTTTACTTGGCATGCAGATAAAACACCCCAAGTTCAAAGGCGGTTCACTTCATACACAATGGGAAGGCATAACTCAGCAAAAAGCTATTAGTATCGAGTCTTTCTCCAGCTTCAGATCAAGTGATAGTAGCTATAAAAATGAAGCCAAGCCAAAGGCACCATGAAGCTTAAGGAAGAGAGACATATTGAATCTTTTCAGACTGAGAGCATGTTATGGACATGCATATAGTCCACTTGCTTTCAAGAAGGCTGTAATTGCTTACACAATTGCACAACTGTAGGCTGTAATGACTACAGTTGTGGTGATGGTGATGAAGCTCAAGATACGTAGTATAATATATTCCACCATTGCCTTGCTCATGCACTATGGAAACGGGAGACCAGAAAATACAAACAAGCCCTGCTTAAAGTTTGCATGTATTGGCTTCAAAACTGTAAAAGCTAATTCAAAGAATAAGGTTTTCAATTTTCAAAATAAAGTACACATTGCCTAATGGCCTCTATTTCCCATAAACATTAATGGCCCTTAGCAAGTTTGTAAGGCCAATCTACAACAAAATGAAAGCTAGCTCCTGCGTACAAGAAAGCTGATCAACTTGATTGTCATTTGCATGACACTGCTAGAATGTTGTAACTTATCAGCATTTCTTGAAGGGACATTGAACAAAAAATTTGAAAAACTAACAAAACATCAAAATTCTACTCAGAAGCAACTGTTCCGATAAATAGAGTCAATTTCCCGTATTTTTGAAGTGATGGCTGTATTTTTGACAAACTGTCAGCACGCGACTGCAGGTTAGCACGAGCCATGATGTCACAATCGCCAAAGCGCATGTAGGATGCATGTGTTTATGTCCACCTCTTTCTCTCACCTCTCCTTTTATGCCGCTATCCCTATTCCACAAAATCGCTGTTACTTTACTCCAGCAAAGAGCATTGTGCACCACTTTTGCTGTTCGTGCCAGTTTTGGAAGATGCAGGGGAGCGGAACGATTGCCATTTTTTGGGCGTGTTGGTAAACGAAACTTGAAGACATATTGCGTGCGAAAAGACAGGGACATAAGAGAGACGACAACACAAGAGCATCGTGATGTCATCTCTCTGACATCTCTGTCTGTTAGCGCTCAATATGTCTTCAAGTCGAGCGAGTCAAGAAAAGCGGGCGACGGCTGGCTTTGTTGATTTGCCTGTATCGGGCGTATGCGACGCCACTTTCGCTAGTTGATGGTGCGGCCGCTAGACGCGGCAATTTGTGAAAAACGCACTGAATCCACTATTTTCCTGTAGTTCCTGGCTGGAATTAAGGGTGTAACTATCTATTTCGGGATGCAATCTTTTGATTTGGTTGAAAACATTGGCAGCGAAAATTCTGTTCAGTATCTTTCTAACTACTGCTTGGGAAATGAAGCTTGGCAAATGAACCTTGCTTTATCTGCCAATAAACCAGTTTAATAGCCTGCTTTCATTATCAACCACAATACCAACAGCACATGATATAACTATCAAAAGCAACACCAATGGGGCTGCCCATGCTGTCGACCGACACAAAATCTTCTCAAACTTTCCTCATTTGTAAACACAGTTGTGTGTCAACAAGTACTAGTCATAATGGCCCTGCCAGAAAGCATTTGCAAGTGCCAAAACTTTGTTTGCAACAAGAAAGCCATGCATAATACCATGCATAAACCATAAAAACCATGCACAAGCACTGCATCACAGGATGGTATGCTACAGTGGCAGTAGTGTTCATACTCTGCTGTTCTAGTAACTATTTTACACCAACAGAACCTTATAAGGATATGGCCTCTAAAAAAAAATAAAAGCAATAGGAAAAGTGACTGGACCTCATTCACAAGTATAATTTCACTAAAGCATACTGTTAATTATGAAACGATGGTGACCCAGAGGTGGATAGTTGTTCCTTCTTTTTTTGCATATACCTAGTTTTCACATTTATCACCTGTTTGGCTCACTTAGCTTATCAGTGAGAGGATGTCATAACTACCAAGCAAGTGTTAAAAGTCAAGCTATTTCTGTCCCGAATAAGGAAAATGTTGGAAAACTGTGCTATGCACTTAACTGTATCAAAACAATCGTACATGATGCAAGGATTTTTGATAGCATGTTTAGAAGGCAACAGTAACAGTTCTGCTGTCTTCTATAAACGTTTGTCTACATTTTGATTTTTTTTTGGGGTTTAACGTCCCAAAACCACCGTATGATTATGAGAGACGCCGTAGTGGAGGGCTCCGGAAATTTTGACCACCTGGGGTTCTTTAACGTGCACCCAAATCTGAGCACACGGGCCTACGACATTTCCGCCTCCATCGGAAATGCAGCCGCCGCAGCCGGGATATGAACCCGCGACCTGCGGGTCAGCAGCCGAGTACCATAGCCACTAGACCACCGCGGCGGGGCACGTTTGTCTACATTACAGAGGATGTCGAATATATTTAGCACCCACCATTTCTGAATTTACAACAATATGCCTCATTGCAATCACTTTTCATCCATTGAAGGTAATGTTAACCGAGCACCACACCCTTGCGAATGGAAAGATCTGACATCACTGTGGCCAATGCGTCGTATCATCGCGGTGGGAGCTCATCCGTACAGAGGTAGCCAGAAACTGTTTTGATTGGGGGGGGGGGGGGGGGGCGCCACCTTGATTTCAGGAGGGGCACCCCCTTAAGAGGGCCATTTTTCGCAACCGCAGGCAGAAAATATTCAGCGTTATCGTCACCTTAGACGCCGCGTTGTCGGAATAGGACGTCAGAAACTGCGCCTGTGACGTCACGAGTAAGCTCGCTTCACCAAATTAAAAGATATGTACGTTTGGAAGCCACCCACTGCGTTACGATTATTCTTTCCATTTATAATATGAAGAAGCTTCAAGCGGTCAGCTAGCTTCAACAGTAAAGGCATACCAAAATCAGTTCGAAGCTGTGCCACAAGCAACGTAAACAGCGAGCTACGCTAACGTTATGCGTTTAAAGAGATCCCGCATTCAAGCATACACACTGCATTAAAAAATATTTCCGCGGAATTGGCCTCACTAATTATCGCGCAAAGCGTTACGGACATAAAACTCCATAGAAATGTTTCGAAAGCACCCATCGGTCGCTCAGATAAGCTGGGAAAAAGCGTTGGAAGACGGGTCATCACGATTATCGCGGCACCCTGCGACGCTCACGATCGCGGCTGTTCGGGTCCCCAGGCACGAAACCGCGGTTAATACAGCGTTCATAAACCGCAAACAAGGGAATAAGTCGCTTTACCATCCGCCCATTTCGTAGCATGGCAACGGTCGGGGTTTACCAGCAGCCACGGCGCGCTAAAAAGCGAAAAACAGTGCGGGGAAAATTAAAATAGCACCAGCAGGCCTCGCCGCCGAGCAGCCGCCATTTCGACTGGGACGACCGAAATGCTGACGTACAATAGCGCATTGGCAGTATTCAGCGTTATGTGATAAATCTCCGGCAACGCGGCATTCGCGGCGCAGGTCAATTAACGACGCCATTCACGGGAGGGGAACGAAAACACTCACGTTCTCTGAATGAGCTTTTCGGGATTTGTGTTTTTTCTTCTTTTTGTGCTTGCGCTTCTTGGATTTCTTCGACTTGGAGCTGTGCTGCGAGTCTGAGTGCTTCTCCTTGGCCTCCGCATCCTTCCCCTCGATCTTCTTCGTGAAATAGTCGGCCAAAATGTCTTCCACTCTGGTATCGTGAGGCAACGAAATATCCTCCATACTTGTTTCTGTACGAGCAGCACGCTCACGCGCGATGGCGATTGAGATTTTGGCTCGTCCGCGAGCTACATGGTTGCCGGAACAGTTCGGTCATTGTTCGGTTGCAGAGGAGTTGATAGGCTGTTTTGTGTAGGTTTATTACGACAACTTGGTAGCGCACACAAACGAGACCAGGTAAGAAGGTTCACAAACAAGTGCAGATTTTAACTCATGTTAAATCATAGAAGAAATATATACAATGAAGCACGAAGGTGGAGAGGGTTACAAAGGGATCCAGTATTAACCGAAATTACAGTGTAGTACACTGTAACCGAAATCAATTAAGTGTCGTCCAGAAATGTAAGCCCACCCATCGATCATGACACGAAGATTATGGAAAATGCTGAAGCCTTTTTTTATGTGTCACTTCATCCTCCGTATCACTTTAAGATTCTGAGATTGCGTTTCTAGGCGGCTTGATTTCGGTTGACCCCTCCCTTTATAACCCTCTTTCTCAACGTGTTTCCTTGTAATTATCTCTCCTGCAATTAAACTTAAGTTTCAATCTGGGCTTGTTTGAGCACATTCTTACTTTGTTCCGCTTGTTTGCGCGTCCAAATCAAGACCAAGTTGTCATAATGAATGTTTCGGTAATGGTCCCTAGTGTATTTCAGGGACCATAGTTCGATCTGCCTGGACATAAAACACAAAGTGTTGTAGAAAAAAAAATACTACATCCAGCTGGAATACTGTGGAAAACCTGCAGGACAGTGAAACCTCAGTGATACGATCACGACTCGTAGTGATTTTCAGGTGATCCGCATTTTTCTGTGGCCCCGGCCAAGGCGCATTAGCCTGCAATGTATTCTACCTATAGCAGCGGCATAAATCATGGGGCGGAGGCGGCGGGCGGGGGGGTTACAGGGGTATGCTGGGGCCCCTCTACTGTTGAGGCCGAGGGGGACACCCTTTGCAAGTGTGCCCTCTTGAGATAGTATTTGAATTGAGATGCAGTGGTGGCGTAGTGGTTAGAGTATCAGCCTCGCGTGTATGTGGTCCATGGTTCGAATACCGGTACCGCGCAATTCCCCACAAGATAGAGGAAAAAGTTATTCGCGCGACACTGAGGGCAACTATAAAGTCGACATTGATTCTTGAAATAGCGGTCAATAAACCTTGAAGTGTTACAAATGTGCCAGGGAAGGGCTTACTTTTTCAAAGGAAATCCCGTTTTAGTGGTCCACATCGGGTTAGCGCACTTCAAATTACGCGCCTCAAGAAGAGTAACGTCTCTCTCATGTCATTGTTGCTAGAGTTACTGTATATGCTCCCAACCTAAAGGTAGCATATACACTGACTCTAATTGTTACCGTGAACAACGCTCGCGGCTTTACTGCGCAGCCGCCAGCACTACTAGCAGCAGAACGAAAGCAGCAGGAGCCACAGTAGCAACAATGGCCATTGATCAATTTCCTGCCATTGGCTCCGAGATGATAAAGGAGTTTTGGTTCAACTGGGCCCCGCTAGATGGCAAGACCTGTCCAGTTTAATACCCACGAGACGGGTGGCGTCGGCGAGACAATGAATCTGAAGCACGGGACTGCTGCTGGACTCGACGGGAGCAAAGCTGACGACCAGTCTCTCACAAACGCTCAAAATAATGAACAAAGACCGGGAAAGTGGAAGAAAAACAAAAAGGCTGCTTGCCGCTACACACCCGAGGTCCTAGTCGTTGGTGATGGCAATGCTCCAAGAATCGCGGGTGAGCTCCGAAGAATCTGGGGCAACAGTGTGCTCGTGAGGCAGGTCTCGGAGCGCAGGATGACGGCGGACAAACTGCAGCACCTGCTTCAGAGCCGCAGTGAAGGGGAAGGCCACAGCGCACAGCTGGTGGTCGTGCACGTAGGGGTCCACGATGTTCTCAAAGGAGTGCAACATGGAGATATTGCCCAGAACATCCGGCAGGCGGTGACACCGTATGCGAAGAGGCTGGTCATCTGCTCCGTCCCTGAAGTTAACACGAGAGGCAAGGCAACGCAGGCAAGAGCAATGCTCCTAAACGCAGAGCTAAGGAAGATGAGTGGAGCCGTAAAGGCAAAGTTTGTCGACCTCTCTAGGATGCTGGCAGGAGAAGGACGACTAGCCCAGGACGGCATTCACTACCTGGCACATACAACACGTGAAGTTGCGACCCAGCTGGTCCAGGAGACACGAAATTTTTTAGGACTACGCGAGCCTCACGGGAACAGGGGCAAGCCAACTCGCAGACCACCTCCAAATATAGGATCGAGAGTCCCCATGCCCGCCCTGGAGATACATTCCCCATCCCCGGAACCACCCAAGACCACAAGCGTGACCACCCACCAGGGGGAAATCAGGGCCGATGTACGGACCACCCCAGGGCAAACCCTCCGCGAACACACCCAGCCGGTTTACGCAGCAAACATGGCACAGCTAGCACCTTTGAGCACACCCCGTCCACCGGGGACGAGTTTGGCTCCGCCAACATGGGGGCCACATCTGGGCACTGCACACCCTACGAAGACCCCGTGGCAAGCATTCAGGCTCAGCGCAAGCCCCGAGCTGTATCAAATGGTTGGGGAAATGGTCCGCCAGCAAATGATGCGCCAAATAATAATGCCGAGTCAAACCACCCAATGATTCTGAAGAGCCGTCGAAGACACCACCACCGCAAACGCACAACCACCAATGTAAACGTTGGTTTTCTCAATCTTCATGGGGCGAGAAAGGCAGCTAAGTGGGCTGAGCTGTATAAGACGCTGAATAGCGAAAAGATCGCTCTGTATGGTGTGGTGGAAACTCACCTACGAGAGTTGGAAGAGCCACCAGTTGACCCCGAATGGCAGTGGGTGGGCTGCAATCGTACAGGGGATTGCCGCAAAGGAGGCGGCGCTGGTGTGCTGTGGCGCAGCAATACAGCCTGGATGCCAATGAAGGGTCCTTGTGCCGAGCACATTTGGGTTTCTGGGACTATTCTTGGTGAGCCAGTTCTCTTTGGTGTGGTGTATTTAACGGTGGCTAGTGGACCACATGACGGTAACGACAAAGTCCTACAGTGTATCATTGAAGATGTGAAACGGTGGGGTGCAGACCGCGAGGTGTTGTTGATGGGAGACTTTAACGGACACATCCCGGCCACTGACGGGTACTTGGATTACAATGGGAAGCTGTTGTTGCAATGTGCGGAGCAGCTCTCTTTGGAAATCGTTAACCTTCGCACTGACTGTGAGGGATGCTTCACATGGTGCGCTCGTACCAGCCGCTCTACCATAGACTATGCTCTGGTGACTGCAAAACTGGCCGCTCGCATAGCACAAGTGCATATTGATGAAGAGGGCCAGTTCAGCCTTGGAAGTGACCATAATCGCATACGGCTGTTGTTCTCTAAGGGCGGCTTTCGAACAGGCTGCATGTCACCTCCACCCAGGCGTGGCATGTACTTGCCGAGCAAGTCCGTGGAGAGGGTCGCCAAGGATTTTGAAAGTAGTCCTCAACGGCGGGAATCCCGCTCGTACAGTGAGTTCATGCGCGCACTGGACGCTGTAATGCGTACCCAGATGGTCCAGGAGAGGCCGGGACGCAGGCCACAGAACCCATGGTGGGACAAAGAAGTGGAGGTGGCGTGGAAGGAGCGCCGCCAAGCAAATCGGGAACATCGAAGATTTGTCAAAGGCCTTGACACTGAGGTATGTGCAGAGAAGTGGGCTGTGTATCTGGACCGTAAACACAAGGTACAGACCCTGATTCAGTGCAAGATAGCAGACTACAACCTTAGGCTGATCCAGTCCATCAGACAGGAAGGAAGATCTGCAGCACACAAATTTTGGACATACATTAGGTCCTTGGACAGAGCCGCCCCCCCGCCACCTCCTCTCATAGATGCGGCAACGGGGCAACCAGTCGGAGAGCCCTGTGAATACATTGCACAGCACTTCTCCCGGATTTTCGGGACCTCAGACTTGAATACAGACACCACCCTTAGTAAAGAGGAGGCAATCAGTCCTAATACCGAACGCCCCCCAAGCCAAACAGAACCACCCTGGGCCCTCTCAAGGTTCACAGTTGAACGGGCGTTGAAGCGGATTAGGGCTGGAACGGCCACTGGTCTGGACGGCATGCCAGCGCGCGTACTAAAGTGCTTGGGAGAAGACTCGAGGGAACAGCTCGCAGAGATCCTCACGGCCATCATCGAAGGCGAGCCCATCCCTAAAGAATGGCATGAAGGGAAGGTGATTCTTATCCCCAAAAGGGGCGGAGATGCGAGGAACATAGAGGACTACAGACCAATAACGGTCACCAGTGTTATGTATCGCTTGTTCGCGGGGGTCATCAAAACATGGATGAGTGGCTGGGCGGAAACCAAGGGACTACTGACCGAGCTTCAGAATGGCTTCAGGCCAGGCAGACGTCTGGATGACAATCTGTTCGTCGTCACACAGTGTGCAGAAATAGCTCGCAGGGAAGGGAGAACGCTGTTGTGCTGCTTCCTCGATGTTGAAAAAGCGTACGATAGCGTGCCGCACGGTCCTCTCTTTGCATGCCTGTCTGACCTTGGACTGCCCCGGCTGCTAATCTCCACTATACAACGGTTGTACAGTGACAATGTAGTGAGTGTGCAGTTGGGTGCCATAACTACTGGCCCAATTCATGTAAATAAGGGTCTGAGGCAGGGCTGCCCACTGTCACCATTGCTGTACATTCTATACGCATCCAGAATAGAGCGGGCCTTGTTGAACTCCAACCTCGGATTCAGCATGCGTTTCAGCACAACTAGTGCTGAAGAGAACTTCCACCTGCCTGGTTTGGCATTTGCAGATGATCTGGTGGTTATGGCAGAGAGTAACCAGGAGTTGCAATCCCTCCTCGACATCTGCCAGACGGAACTCGCGAGTCTTGGACTTCGATTCAACACTAAGAAATCGGCGGTTGTCCGTCTAACTGGAGGGAGTACCGATGCAGCAGCGTTGACTTTAGGAGGAGAACTGCTGGCCACACGCAACGATTACAGATACCTGGGCGTCACCCTGTGTGTGGATGCAGCAAAAT